TTAATGTAGCTCCTCAGCTCTCTTCTGTTGCCTGCTTGAATGGTATACTGTTTACCATCATTTTACTTTCAACCTACTTCTTTCTTTGAGTCTAAACTGTGTCTGTTGTAGACAATATATACTTGGATCTTCCTTTTTTATTTGGTCTCACAATCTCTGCTTTTGATTGCAGTATTTAGTTCATTCACATTTAAAATAGTTATTGATATGATTGGATTTATGTCTGTTATTTTGCTCCCCCTCCCCCCATGTTTTATTTCCTCTCTTTTTCCCCTTTACTGCCTTCTTTTGTTTCAACAAATATTTTTCAGTGTGCCATTTTAATTCTTCGGTTAGTTGATTTTTTAGAGTTATTTTCTCAGTGGTAGAGTTATTTTCACCTCCCTCTTCAGGTTGTAAACCTAAGAATACAGTGATATAATTATTGTTTTATTCAGGCTTGTCTTTTAAGGAAATTAAGCAAAGAGAAAAATACACTTATACGGTTTTTTATATTTACCCATTTATTTTATCATTTCCAGTGATCTTTACTTCGTCCTGTGGATTCAAGTTGCCATCAAGCGTCACTTTTAGCCTGAAGGCCTTCCTTTTGTGTTTTTTTCTAAGGGAAGCCTACTAGCAGCAAATCTCTACCTTCATTTGTCTGTGACTGTCCTTTTTTCACCTTTATTTTTGAAGGATATTTTAAGACTCTTCGGAAGATGGTTAGAGAAACTTGACTACTCTGACTGAGCTGCCCTCACTACAGCTGTTTGTAGCACAGGCTTAAACTATTCCCTTTTTTGCAGGCATCCTCCCTACAGTGTGCTTCTGGAGAGGGGCCTCCTCTGCACCCTCCTTCCTCTGCCTTCTCTCAGGGCAGTGTTTCTCATCTCAGCACTATGGACATTTGGGGCTGGGTAATTTTTTTTGTAGGGGGCTGTCCTTTGCGTTATAGAATGTTTAGCAGCATCCTTGGCCACTATTCACTACATGCCAGTAGCAGCCCTCTTCCTCAGTTGTGACAACCAACAATGTCTCCAGACATTGCCACATGTCTCCTGGGCAGGGTTGGGGTGGGCGGCGGGCAAAATCACCACCAGTTATAAAGCACTATGTTAGAGGGTTCCTGATGTCTCCCCACGTTGCTCATTCTCCTGTCATCCTCCTCCCTACCCAGCCGGTCTCACTGCTACTCTCTTGCCTGTCCTGTTTGCTGCTCGCCTGGATTCTCTGTTCCTTCCCTGGAGCTCTTTGAGTCAGTAGTGGTCATTCCTGAGGATGGAGCCAGTTGCCCCCTTCTCTTTTTAAACATTCTGCTGTATGTTCTGTAGTGAATATGCTGTTCATCATGTATTAGCAGAAGCCTGTGTTTTATAAAGTATGCTTTTCAAAGATGTAAGTCCTGTAAAACAGATAATGTATACAAGTTTAGAAACAGTGGAGGTTATCAATTATTAGTTATTAATCTTTGTTTTCTGAAATAAGAGAACTTTCATGTACATTACTTTTTATTTTTCATATGTTTTCTTCATATTTGATCTTTTTGATAGACTAGAAGTGTTTAGCCTCAGATAGCGAGTAAGAATATGCCGACTTAGATGATGAAAATGTGTCCCATATTACACGGTTAATAAATAGAGGGACTGAGATCAATTTCAGATCTTCCATGACCAAGGCCACTGTCCTTTGAACTTCAGATTCTGAGAGGAAAAATACATCCTTCATAGCACCATTGAGGCAAGGCGAAAGCATTCTACATGGTAGGAGTCTTGAAGCACTGGGGGAACATCTGTGCTTATCATCTAGAACAAGAATGTGGTGTGTAGTTTCACCAGTGAATGGTTAGCTAGGATTTGTCCTTCTCTTCTTGGCTACTGAAGTGGATGGTAGGGATTTTGGCTCCTAAATGGTCATGATTAATTTTTGTGTTTCTATTAAGTCCATCCAGCATGAGCTATATTTTGGAATAACGTCTTTTATATCCTTTGATAGTTGGAGAGGGGAACTTTGAATTACTTTTTCCAGTAGAGATGATCATTCAGATAGTGTCTTCCAAAGGTTTTCTTATGGCCACTTGGGTTACTTATGGAATGATGGATGGATTGGAGTTAGAGACACAATTTTTTTGTGTATTTGTGGAAGAGAGCTTTTCCCTTTGAAAACATTTTTAAAACGTTACCATCTTCAAACATTTTTTAAAAAACATTGGTTTTCACTAAGATACATATATAAAAAGGAAATCCATTAGTTAGGGAGTTGAGATTTACCCTTATTTCTGCTTGAGCTTTACGTGTGGATGAGTGAAATCCTGTGAGTATTCCCCATGCTTAGCGGTAGTTCTTTAGATTCCTTGTGGATCAACGGAACCGTTTGGTCTTTTCAAAGAAATGATCCACTAAAGAAATGTTATTGTACAGAAGGGAATTAGGTTTGGTCGAGTAACCTTTGAACTTTCTCCTTCTCAACTGTGACAGACCATTGTTTTCAAAATCCAAAAGTTAGTCGTCTTTTTAACCGACCGAAATGTGGTTTCCTTAGTGCAGACTCTGTCCGAGCCCCTTTCCCCCACAGTGGCTCTGACCAGGGCCCTGTCCTTATAAATCTCATTGCTACCCTTGTTCTAAATATGTCAGTCACCCACTTTGTTTTGTACGTACTATTTTGTAAAGCATAGGGCTTGGTGTTAAAGATAGAAAAAGATATGGTGAGATCGAAGAATTCAGCTTATTAATAAATCACATGCAAATGTGTACTTCATTCCCACCTCACGAAATAACTCAGTTTGATAGAGCATATTTCAGAGATCTTACCTCATAGTATTAGGATTTCTTTTTTACTTTTGCTTCTGTTGTATAGGCCAATCTCTGACTTTTTTGTACCTTTCCTTTCACCTATTTATCATGTGATGTCTAGCATATCATTTTCACTGCTTTGAGTTAATTTTCTTTTCTGTTATTCCTCAGTAGAGTGAACTTCTGTTTCTCTAAAATCCCAGGGACTGGAAAATAATCAAAATTTTTTCTGCCTTCGTGAGAGATGTATGTTAAGGACAGAAGTTTATAACAGGGATATATCTAAAATAATCTCTAGGCTGTGGTGTGGTGTCGTTATAAGTTCACCACTATGACCATATACCTTTTAAATACGTGGCATTATAAATTGCCAGCTGTCTCTTGCAGGGAATAGCAACCTTTTGCTTGATAGTGAACATTTTCAGCTGTTTAGGCATTATGGTCTCTGTTGCAGCTACTCATCTCTGCTGTTTAGAGGGAAAGCAGTCATAGACACTTGATGAAGACTTCGGTGTGCACATAAAGAAAAGTATCTCATGTTAACTCCTCTAGAGTAGTAAGAATACACGAGGTGGGTGAGAAGATTTGTTGCCTAAAACGGTAGGGGAAGTAAGTCTTGTAAATAAAGTTTACATTTAAGATTTTGGACTAGTACAGTTTTAATTAATTATAATATGTGTTAAGTAAATTAAAATATTTTCTTGAAATTGTCTCTCAGCTCTTCAGAAAATAGGCTGATATTGTGGTAGTCCCTGATTTCCAGTAGTGCTACGTACGTTATGTGTGTGAGGTGCCATCCCGAGCATTGAGATAGCTCGGTTTACATTGTTCCTTTTAATCCTCTTATTAGTTTTAATTCCTCATTTATTTTATTTTATGTTCTTGGAGTATTAGCATAGCAGTGTGACAAAATACAGTTTACCTTAGGTTTATCAGGCTTTAAGCTTTAATGATGTTTTTAGATCTCTACCCCAACAGATCATTTTGTCTGCTTGCTTGAAGATCATTATTTCAGGCATTAGCAGGTGTTAGTAAGGCTGATGTTGATCCATCCGGCTGTGTCTGATGAAATGCTTGGCCATTTAGGAGGTCAGAAGTGGCAGCAGACTGTTGACACCGTTGTACTTGGTGGCAGTGCTGGCATTTGCTGTCTCTGACTTTTCATCTTATGAGAGAGCATATGCTTTGAGTCTTAAATAGCTCGAGGTAATACCGAGTCACTTGTTAGTTATTCTGGGACTTGACTGGCCTCAGGAGAACAGGGCCACTTGGCGACAGGCAGCAGACCATGGGGCCGTGAAGCTTCCAGTTCTAGCCTCAGTCAATGGCATGCTCTCACCTACTGAGTTTCAGTCTGCCCACAAAACTAACCTAGTTCTTCCAGCTGCTCGTTGGCTTTCTTGTGGCAAGACAAAGCACATTTTTCTAATCCTCATGAAATAAATTTCCTTCACTTTTTTATTTTTGAAAGAAATTTGATCATAATGTCCCATTCTGGATTTCTGCCACAGATCCTTTAGTGAACCAAAGATGGTTGAAGTAAGATTTAAATATAAGAAATTTTTATCTATAGAGTTCAGGCAGAATTATTATGGGTGACAAGCTTTTAAATTAATGAAATTTGTGCCCCCAAGTCCTGTTAGTATTTGTATCACTTGTGTTGCTCTTCTTGTCTGGGGCTATAGTCTTTTTTTTACTATCCTTAGAAGCCGTTAACTTCTAAATCTATGAACAGTGAATATTATTGGCGGAAATTACATAACTAACTTTTACCTTTGAACAGTGACAGCTATAATATTGCCACTAAGTATTCTTTTACCTCTGAATTTTATTTTCCCAAGAAATTACAGCTTATTAAAAGATAGCTTATGATTAATTTTTCTGCATAATGTTTCATCACAGTAACTTATTATGTTTACTTATATACTAATTACATGATATACTGAAATGTTTTGTGAACTCTGGATCCAGTCTCAGAATTGGAAACCTGCTGTTATCCTGTGTAGACTGATGGAATTGATTTAATTGGTTTTTCCTTTCCTTTTTGTTTTCTCCTCTCTTGTAGTCAAGAGCTAATGACTGATAAGTTTATCTTTCCATATGGGGGATATTCACTTATTTACAGATTTTTTTTTTTCCATTTTAGTTCCTTTTAAAAGAAAATTTAGTTGGAAAAGTGCTTTTTTCTTCTGGTAACTAAGTAACACTGTATTGTTTCATCTCTAGGTTTGAGTTCTGGGAAGATTTTGAAGAAGACCATGGGAAAGGGAGAGAGAATGGCTACCAGAGTCTTCATAAGGTGCTAGAGCCTTTCCTTCTCCGGAGAGTTAAAAAAGATGTGGAGAAATCCCTTCCTGCCAAAGTGGAACAGATTCTCAGGGTGGAGATGTCGGCCCTTCAGAAACAGTATTACAAGTAAGTTATTGGCTAGGTTAGGCCTGAGTTGGAATTAAGATTAGTGCCATGAAGCCATGAGATAGATGATTTACCAAAGAAAATCTTTTTTTTTTTTTTTTTTTTTTTTTTTGCTGAGGAAGAATGGTCCTGAGCTAACATCTGTTGGCAGTCTTCCTCTGTTTTGTATGTGGGACACCACCACAGCATGGCTTCATGAGCAGTGTGTAGGTCTGCAGCTGGGATCTGAACCCGCGAACCTGGAGCTGCCAAAGCAGAGCGCACAAACTTAAGCACTATACTGCCAGACTGGCCCCCCAAAACTGCTTTTTTCAGTGAAGCCTCAATGCAGATTTAAGTAGCAATTTATTTATGTTTAGAAACAGGGAGCTATATTATTCTTGCTTTTTTATTTGAGTGAGAATCTGCACAATACTTTTCATTATCTAAGTGGTCTGAACTTTATGTTAATTCTTAATGCTGATCCCATTACCAATAAACAGGCATATTTTACTCATTCATATATTTCTTCCCTTATTCACTCATTTATTAGAATGCTGCAACGTGCTAGACATTCTGCTAGATACTGGGACTATGAAGATGAATGGAATGCGTTCTTGCCAGAAGCCTTGTTGTTTAGTAGGGAAGACAGACTAGAGGCAGATAATTAAAGCAGGCTGTTGTTTAATAGCTGATTCATAAGCAGGAGGCTGTGGAAGTTGAGTAGGGAAAGTACTCACCTCTGTATTGGAGGACGAAGACGCTTTGCTTTCCAGCATTCCAAGTGGCACAGGCAGGTTATGGACTTGGTTTAGATTATGTTACAGGCAAAATGGTGGGCTTGGGACAGAGGGTGGAATATAGCATGCTTGTCAGTTTAGTTTTGCTGATGTATAAAGTTGGATCTGGAGTAGTTGGAACTAACTGTATTGCCATGAAAATTATAGTCTTTTAAAGTTAGAGGTTTGGTAATCTTTCTAATAATATTCCCCCTTTGTTCTTAATACAACTGAGTAAAAGCAAGATTTTAATTTTCAAAAATTACTATCTGACGCTTTTACCTAACACTATCTTGATTTTTTAAAAATCTTTTTATTATAGGAAATCTCAAAGTGTGCACAGAGTAGCATGTAGTCGTGTACCCATAATCCAGTTTCAACAGTTCTCGCCTCATGGTCGATCTTAGTTCATCTGTATCTTCTTCTGCATCCCCATTCCCACCTCCAGATCGTTTGAAAGATATTTTTTCTTTTGAAAATGTCTTTTTCTGACTTATCTCACTTAGCACAATATGCTCAAGGTCCATTCATGTTGGATTTTTGACTTTTTCAAAAGTTTTGACCAGTGAGATTTATTTTGGTATGGTTATGAATTCATTGATGAACATATTTGTGTTTCATCCTGTTGCGGTGATTATCTATGCTCATGGTCTGATAGCCCGATTTGTACCTGTGTGAGCTTATTCAAGTTGATTCTGAGTCTTTTTGGCATAATCCTAGTAGTAGTTGATAGCTTCTTTGCTTTTTGGAGTGGTAAAATGTTTAGATTCGCCTTGTATAGTTCCTTCCCCAGAACTGGAGTCAGCCACATATCCAGCAAGCTCTCTATACTGTTTATTGGAAAATGGTATTTGGAGACTGCAAATTGGACACTAGGGGTGCTTTTTGCAACTGCATTGGACATTATTGACAGCTCTTTTCAGTGGACATAATTAGGAAATTTGTTTTGTTTTTAAAGGTAAAAAATACATCATAAACTTTTCCCAATTAAACAGTACAGAGATTTTATTTGACCTTATATCTTAAACCCATACCAAAAAATTCCCCTTCTCAACTGCACCTACCTAATTCACCCCACACACACAGTCTTAGAATAATAGTGCCAGCAATATGAATAACAAAAACAGGTTAAGATTGTGTAATAGTTGTTTTTCTTTTTAAAGGTATATGCTACTAGAAGGATAAGAGTCTTAAAGCACTTGAGAGAGTTTTTCTTCTCCGTGGTTAGGCTACCAGCTAGATACAATGGTTTGTTTATTTCATTGTAGTTCTCTTTTAAGAGACTGCTTTGTTTAACTTTCTTTCATAATTATTTATAATATTTATCGAATTCCAAAGGCAAAGCTACAAAGCCTAGTTTGTTCAAAGGTATCTAACTTCTTATACTTGCTCTCCCATTCTCATCTCTCTTTCCTTTAGGTATTAATTGTTGTTATTCTTTTTAATCTGTATCTTTCCTCTATTTTTTAACTTTTAAAATATAGGCAAATACAAAGAACTTTTTTGTTACCTCCCTCCTCTTATATAAATGATAGCATACTGTATACGTTTTTCTGTGCCTTACTTTTTTCCACTAAATGATATGTGCTGAAGGAATACTCCATACTAGTTTAAAGAGATACTCCTTTCCTTTTACAGCTGCATGGTGCTCCATTGTGGATCTGTAGTATAGTTTATTCAACCAGCCCCCTAGTGGTGGACATTGGGATTGTTTCAAATACTTTTCCTTTTCTAAGTAGTGCTGCAGTGAAAATCCTTGTGCATTCTTCTTTGAGGTAGATTCCTAAAAGTGTGATTGCTAAAAGTGTAAAGAAATTTCACTACTCAGAAAAAAGCGCTTATAATATTTTAGGGTTTATGGGTAAAGCTTTTAGAGTCATGTGCTACATAATGACATTTTGGTCAACAACAGACCACGTGTATGATGTGGTCCCATGAGATGAGTGCCATATGGCTCAGGTGTGTAGTAGTGCGCTATACCACTTAGGCTTGTGTCAGTACATCTGATGTTCACACAACAATGAAATTGCCTAAAGTGTTTCTCAGAACATAGCCCTGTCATGAAGTGATACATGACTACTGTACATGGATATACATGAGTATATGTGTATTTCTCCTCCCCTCTTACCAAATTGGGATATAAAACATACTTATCATGAACATTGTATCATGTAAAATACCCTTTACAACATTTTAAATGGGTACATAGTTTCTGTCTTATGATATATCTAATTTATTTAACTGATCTTCTATTTTTAGACAACTTATTTCCACTTTTATACTGCAATAAAGAGTGCTTCAGTGACAGTCATTGTTTTACATGTATGTGTGTGTGTGTGTGTGTGTGTGTGTATATATAAAATTTCCTTTTAATATTTCTGTGTTCAGTCAGATTGAAATACCCAGTAGAATGATTAGTATTCTCAATATGCCTGGAGTTGTGAGGGGTCCTGGTTAGGTGGCAAGAGATGCAAAATTAAGTGTCTCTCCCTGCCTTTTCAACCTTTCCCCCCCCCCACTAATACTACCTGCTCTTATAATCTTCTGGTACCCCCAACTCTCTATTTCTTGGAATCTAATAATATCATTATCGTCTTAATTTGCAGATGGATTCTGACCAGGAATTACAAGGCTCTTGCCAAAGGAACAAGAGGCAGCACATCTGGGTTCCTTAATATTGTGATGGAACTGAAAAAATGCTGCAACCACTGTTACCTGATTAAACCCCCTGAAGAAAATGAAAGGGAGAATGGACAGGAGATTCTGCTGGTGCGTGGGGACCTTGTTCATAGTTACTTTCTCGAAGACAATTTAATTTCTATAGATGCTTTTTATCAAAATGCTCTTTTTCCTCCTTGATGACTCTTCAAGGAGCAGTAAAAGAAGCTTTAAAGAGCAGATGAGAAAAGTTGAATAGCTAGGAAAAATCTGGAAAGTATAGTGTCACAGATACCAGGTAAAGAGCGTTTCAGGAATTGCTTCTCAGCCAGATTGCAGATGGCTTCAAAATGACAAAGATGATTTAAAACATATGAACTCTTAGAGATTAAGGGCAGATTGAAATATTATTTTGAACATGATGATTGGAATGTTTTTTCAATCTTCAGTCCCTGATCAGGAGCAGTGGGAAGCTGATTCTATTAGATAAACTGCTGACAAGACTTCGAGAAAGGGGAAACAGAGTACTTATCTTCTCCCAAATGGTGAGAATGTTGGATATCCTGGCTGAGTACCTGACTATTAAACACTATCCTTTCCAGGTAAGGATGCTGTTACTGGGGTCTCTCCCTTCCCCCCTCTCTCTGTCTGGGTTGTATGCTTTGCTTGCTGAATTATCCTAAAGTAGAAAACAAGAGTTTTCTTGCCTGAAACAAATTGAAATTAAGATTCCAGAAGGGTCTTAATTTTTGCTTCCTGCCTTTAGGCTACCATGTAATGATGCTGGTTATGTGAAGATCATCCTTCTTTTTTAGGGGCCTGGAGGGTGGGGATTAGAGAAAGGAAAATTGGGCAAGAGAAAAGCATGTTAGATGGTGTTTTCCATCTCTGAGTTGTAGTAAAAGTAGAGAAGAAGGAAGTGTGAACCTGATTACAGAGGCCCAAATCCTAGAAAGAAAGGAGAAGAGAGGTGACAGTGTTGTACATTCACCCCAAAGGAAGTTGACTGGCTGTGGGGCTGGGAACTGAGCAGAACAGTGCTCTTGAAACCTTGCTGGTCCCTGAAGCAAGTGGCGATGGTGCCCCTCTTTGGAACTGTCACTGCAGATTTCATCTTCATTCAGTTTATCTACTTGAGATGAGAAAATAAAATAAGGGGAAAAAAAGAGTTTCTTCAGTATAATAGTATTTTTCTGGGTGTTAGAGTATGGGAAACTTTCTGCTCTATTTATAGACATGCATACAATTTACCTTGACTTTTGGCATAATAGTTTTATGACGCTTTGATTTTTAAGATTTATTAAAATTTTTTTCTGTTTAACTTTGACTGGGTAGACTGTTCTACCACCTCATGTAATTAGCTGGTATTGAAGAAGCTTAGAGTCAATGATTCCCTCCTAAGAAGGCTAAGCTTTTTTCTTTTTTGAGGAAGATTAGCCCTGAGCTAACTACTGCCAGTCCTCCTCTTTTTGCTGAGGAAGCCTGGCCCTGAGCTAACATCCGTGCCCGTCTTCCTCTACTTTTTTTAATATGTGGGACTCCTGCCACAGCATCGCGTGCCAAATGGTGCCATGTCCGCACCCGGGATCTGAACTGGTGAACCCTGTGCTGCCGAGAAGCGGAACATGGGAACTTAACCACTGTGCCACTGGGCCGGCCCCTAAGAAGGCTAAGCTTTAAAACTTACTAACAAATTATCTTTCAAAATGCCCTGAAAGGCATTGTTATATCCATAATACCTTCTGAGGTCTTTCAGTAGCAGCTGTGTTAGAATATAGTTTAATACTGTGCTTTATTATCCAAGAAAAGTAGTCTACCTAAAGACAGTTATCTCTTAGTGCATCTGATCCCTGTGAGCTTTCAGGTCTAGCTAATCATTTGGTATCAAGAAAAATAATACGTTACTTTCCTCTCTAGGGAATAAGTAGACTACAGTCCACTCAGGTTTATCCTGCCTAATGTCTTCTGTTAATGGGAATATTAAAAGGAGGGCATTTGGGTTTTCTGATTTCAAATAATAAGCTATGAACCTGCCATTTAAACTTATCTTTGAGTTAAGGCTCTGAGTGGAGTTGGGAGTCAGAAAGCAGAAAGGGGTTCCAAAGTCTGAGTTTGCTTGCATTCTGCTGGCTCTGGGTCTGGTGGGCAGAGCTCTGAGCGGGGGAGATGTAGGTCCTTCCACAGACTCTGCTCCCAGCCAGAGGGGAACAATGTGAAAGTGATTTAGAGAGTGAGAAATGCTTTATATGTACAGCATATAGGTAATAATTCTTCAGTAGTTATTTTATATTTTACATGGTTTCTCTGTGGTGGCATTGTTCTGGATCTGGAGCTGACATATACTCTAATAAAAGGAATTATGCACACTAAGTAGATGCCAGGGATTCTAATGCATTTTTGCTGCTTGAACACTTGGCACTGATTTTAGAGTGTAAATTTTGGAAAAGCTGGGATATGATCAACTTAATTTTAACATTTTCAGTCTTATGGCATACGTTTTCTGAACAAAATTGTTTAAATAACTTTTTGGTTTGTGTAGCACTTAATAATTGGGCCCCATTAGCTGAGAAGCATCATTGTTTGGCAGGAGTTAATTATTAGGTGACCAGTGGTAGTATTTCCTAATCTCTTCAGTCCTCACAGATGTAGAAGCAAGCAAAACCTCTGAGCACAGTGTGGGTTGCCATCTTTCTCCTTACGGGTCCTTGCAGCCATTGTGATCCTTGGATAAACCTAGATGGCCCTGTGAATCAGAAGCTTCTGACCTTGAGTTTGTAACCGGAGAGCTTGGGGCAAGTAGAGTGTGCTGCTTAAGCACAGCCCCTTGACAGCCAGTGCATTCTGGTTATTTTTACTCTGCGTGTTGCAGTGATAAAGGTTGCAAGTCTGGTGTTCTATTCTGAGTGTGGCTAATCTTCCTACCTTATGATTTTCTTGTTTATTTTTGCAGCGTCTGGATGGTTCCATCAAGGGAGAAATCCGAAAACAGGCGCTGGACCACTTCAATGCAGATGGGTCTGAGGTACACCAGGCATGGCTTTGTTATTTGGGCAGCTTGGGCTCTGTATCAAGGGGAAAGCCTTTTTAGCTAAATGTATTCTGTTTGAGAGACATTTCACTATGCAATTCTCCTGCCTTGAGAAGGGAATGAGAAATCACTAATATAAAAGATGCCTCTGAATTTTGTTGTTTGTCAATCCAGAAAAGCATATGCATTCTTGTTTATCTCCTCTGGTCTGGATTAATGACAGGGTTGTTCTGATGTCAAACGAGTGTGCTCTGGTGACTTCCAGATACCAAATTTCTGGGCCTAAGAGAGCCACAAGGCAAGGGTTGGGGAGGGCTGGCCAGTAGGATTCATTTTGACATGTATTTACATCAGAAGGTTTTGATCTGTACTATTTTGGTGAGTGAGGCTTGAAAAGTATGTTTGCCATGTCTCAGATTTGTTGGACTCCTGGTACAATGTGACTTAATGTTCTTGCTTTGACTAACAGCAACACTTGTTAATCAGTAAGTGTCCAGCTTAGATTTGGCATTATGAAGTATTTTGTTTTTAAGGCACGTATAGAAGAGCTATTTAGGACAAATTAGAAACCATGGTAACATTGTAGTTTGTGCATATCAAACTATTGAATACCAGGGGATTTGAAAGAAGTGGGGTGGGGAGCACTTTGGTGTTGGTGACACTGTAGTGATGTGTAGAGATAAAGGAAGCAGAGGAGGGAGCCAGAAGTAGAACCAGTAGTAATTTGGAGAGAATGTTAGAACTTCTGAAGCCTGGGCCACTACTTTGTACAGATAAACAGACTTAACTTTCTGCTTTCTGAAGAGCTTTAAAAGCGCTCTTGCTGTCTGTGTCTGCTACTCCAGAATGATGTGACCTCTGCCTCTCGAATTGCACATACTCCTATTTAGAATATAGTGTTCTGTTTCTTTAGCCTAAAATTTTAGTTCGCCTTGCAGAGCCTTGGGCACTAATCTCTTCAGAACCAAGGCTCTGAATAGTTAAGAAGAGGAATTGAATTACTGAAAACATTGATCATCGTCTAATTCCTAACCCTCCTTTGTCTCCTGTTTCCTCAACTATAAAATCACAATAATTCCAAAAGTTACTTCCTAATACTGCTGTGAGGATTAAATGTGCTCATCAGTGTACAGTCCCAAGCACATTGCCTGGCGTATACAATCATGTGCCGCATGACGACGTTTTGGTCAACGTGGACTGCGTGTACCATGGTGGTCCCATGAGATTAGTACAATATAGCCTAGACATGTAGTAGGCTATAGCATCTAGGCTTGGGTCAGTACACTCTCTGATCTTCTCACAACAACAGAATTGCCTAACGATGCATCTCTCAGAACATATCCTCATCGTTAAGTGACCCATGGTTGTAGTAAGCACTCAGTAAATGTTAACTATTTTTATTATTTAGTATTTATTGAAGTTGGCTTTATGTTCCCTACTCTTAGTTTAAAAAATAGAATGAGTGGAATGTTTTGTGTTTTTCTTTCTCAGAAAAAAGCTAGAGTTGCTTTTTTTATGGTTCTCAATTGATCTCCCCTACCCTATGGCTATATATAAAATACGGGTTCTCTACCGTTTTCTGCAAACCTATCTTTTTTAATTAATTGAAAAAATTAAATACTTTATCATTGGGGGAAAATAGTTTTGCACATTTAGAAAATTGGAAGCTGGTGAAAAGTACGGGGAAGAAAAATTGTACAAAACTCCCATCCCAGAGACAACTTGCTATTCACATCATTTGAGTGTATTTCCATTCATACTGGGTGGAACCGTTTATTTCTTTATATATTTATCTGACTGGGATCATACTACGTATAGTTGTGTTGTCACCTTTCATTCAAAATTGTACTCTGAGCATTTTTCTGATGTCATTAAAGATTTTCAAAAATTGTAATTTCTACTATTTTTTCATACATGTACCACTATTTATTTAACCACTTTATCATTGTTGGATGTTTAGTTAAGAGGATATGAGCGTTTTAAAAAGATTTTTGATACATTTTGCTAAATTACTTTGCCCAGTTTATATTCATACTGTTTATGTATGAATATTTCCATTTTACCTCACCCTTAGCAGCACTGTTTCATAATTTTTAACCTTGTCAATTCGATAATAGACACAAATGACATCTCATTATAATTCATATTCTCTTTGATAAAGAGTGACATCAAAAGTGGTTTATATGATCATTCAGACCCCAGATTTTATTTAAGGTTTAGGTATCTCGTTCTAATAAGTGTTCACCTGCAGACTTCACTTTAGAGCATGGTGTTGCTTGGTATTTCTACCAAGAGTCCCAGAGTATGTGCTGCCTCAACACACCTGTTGATCAGTTCTTTATTGGAATTATTTAAAGTTCTTGTGGGACAGCTATCTCCATTTTTATTTCTATGGCATAATGTTGGCAAATGTGACTATTGGAATGTGGAGACCTTTTCATTGCATCTGTGTACGTATATTAGAAGTACCCACTTATCAAAATGTAACTCAGAACTACCAGTTTTTGAGTGCCACTTCTGTGCCAGAAAGGTGTCAGCCTTTGACACACATGATTAAACTATCTGAAAATAGAAGTCTGGCTTTCTTTTTCTCTGGCTCGTATAGTTTATTCTCTGCCTCCTGCCCATATTTTCTGAGCACTCAGATGCAGGCGGGTGGACTGTGCCTGCCCAGTGTCTTATCGTTGCTGTGGAAACTGAACTGTGTCAGTGCCTGGGTCTTTCCCACACACGGCTCTTCAGCCACACCTGCTCTGGTTTTCTTTGTGCATGTTTTCTGGGATTGAGGATCCTGTGTTTCTCAGCAGTTCCATCATGTGATCCTTAGTGCAGTGTTTCTGTATCCGCGCCAGCCTAACAAATGGGTGGATGTTTGCATAATAAAGTTTCCTTATTTCTGCTGACTGCCTTACATGGCAGAATCCACCTTTACCTAGAAAACGAGTATCTAGGCAACTTGCTGCAATGATCCCCTTGATAATTAAGTTTGTCTGGTTTTTGTTAACTGCTTGTATACTAGTTTTAGCCAGGAGAGAACACTAATTCTTTCGTTCCTGTTGTCTTACCAGAGTCTACTTTACTCCTTGGTTCACTGCACTGACTCTTACCTCTTAATCAAATGAAAATACACTCTGCCATCAAGTCCCTGACATTCTTTTAGCCTCCATAAAGTTTGTCCATCATATCTCACTTTTCTTCACACCTGCAGGGGTTTCCAGGTTAAGGGCTTATTGGACTGTGAAACTGTTTCTGAGAAGGCCACTGCATAAAGTAGTATATTGCATTGTGTACAGGACTTCTGTTTCCTGCTCTCGACAAGGGCTGGTGGCCTGGGAATCAATTTGGCTTCAGCGGACACAGTTGTCATCTTTGACTCTGACTGGAACCCCCAGAACGACTTGCAGGCACAAGCCCGAGCCCATAGAATTGGTCAGAAGAAGCAGGTCAGTGGTGAGCGACTTCTGGATGTGGCTTGGGGGAGGAGGAAAGAAGGAGTTATTGAGCCCTTTCAGGGTGTTTGTAAAATGCCTTTTTTTTCCTATTTTGCTGTCATTTCCTGAAGGGTAGGTGTCTGTTTCTTAATTAGTCCAGAGAAAATGTCTTTGGGGCTAAGATGAACCTGTTATGGAACTATTCTCTTTCACTGTTTGAAAAGTATGTCACCAGTGACTTTCTGGTTTACCTCAAGAAAGAGATATGATGAATAGACTTAGAACTGAAGTTTTTCTCTATTTTAATAGGGAGAAATTGTTAAATATTCTAACGTTGTTCAAGATGGTCTGTTGTTATTATACGTGATAATGTTAGCTCTGAGCTAGGTTGAAAAGTACATGCTTGTTTCCTTCGTATATGAATCTCAAAGTCTGCAGTAGTATTGGGTAACTCATAAATTTCTCACTCAGAGATTCAGTTTTGGTGAAACTTTGCATCAATGAAACTGATTATTCTTTAGCAAGATTTTTATCATTAGAACAAGGCTGTGATAACAGTTCTTTAGAGGCAGTATTATTTAAGAATGTAACCTGCAGATAGTAAAAATATTGCATGTACTTAAGTTGCCTATTTGGCTGGATGGCTTACAGTCATTTATGGTAATAGCAAATCTTTTTTTATTTCTCCTCTTGGTTTTAGACAGATGTACCTTTTTTTTTTTTTAGTCATCAATCATAAGCATAACGTTTCCTTTTCCTACAGGTAAATATTTACCGCTTGGTTACAAAGGGGACGGTTGAGGAGGAGATCATAGAACGGGCCAAAAAGAAGATGGTATTGGACCATCTGGTGATTCAGCGCATGGATACCACTGGTCGGACAATCCTGGAAAACAACTCAGGAAGGTCCAAGTAAGTGCCAGAAAGATGGGGGAAGTGGGAAGAGTCAGACTGATTTTGCATCAACCTTTGATAGAATTCATCCTTCTAATAGGATTCTCTAGAACTGACGTTAGTCTGTTAGTTACCTGCAAAAGGCCAAGCCAAGACCACAAGAAGACGGCATTTTCGTTTTATTTTATTTTCCCTATTTTTCCTTTTCTCTCTCTTTTTTTTTTTCCGCCTGTCAGCCCTCTGCTTACGTGTTTTCTCTTTCTTTCCTGCCCCTCTCTCTTGCCTTTTGCTTTTGGCTGTACATGTGACATATGACACAGCAGCAGCAGTGGCAGCCGTGTGCACCCCATTAGGCTTTGATTGCAGCACGATGTTGCCTTGGACTTTTTAGCAGTGAGAGTGCACCAGATTGAATTGGCAGCTGATTTCTTACTATTGGTAAAAATGTTTGTGTGGATATTGTTATTTTTCCTATTAAAAACAGAACAGTATAGAAGGGAAGTAGTCAAGTTCGAATTGGCTTTATTTGGAAGCACAATATTTCTCCTGTAGAGGTTGCATGTTGACCAAGTTGTTGAGGGTCTTCCGTGGCAGTCCTGCAGCTTCTCTTAAAGCTGAAATCAAGTGAGCCCTTACTAAACACACTCTTTATAGACAATTTTCCATTCAAGAGGAGCCAAATGGAAAAAGCTTGGTTCTTTTCTTTTGGACCAGAAGTGAGGAGGTTGAAAATTCTTGGTGAATGATAACTTTCTGAGTCGAAGGACAAAGAAATGTTTTCTTTTATGTTGTTCGTTATCTTTCTTTCTTAACCATGTAGTAGGTGAGCAAGCAGGAAAATAATTAATTTCCTAGTCTTCTGCTGAGTTAGGTTTACCACCACAGAGTCATCCTGTGAATAAAAAAAGAAAAGAAAAAAAGAAGAAATATTTCAGAGATCATTTTTCTTGGGGCAGAATTTATATTTTCACCCTTTATGAAGGATACATATTCTGTAGAACTCCATTGAGGTTGACATTCCTAAGAGATTACAACTACATTTTACTTCTACAGCTCAAATCCTTTTAATAAAGAAGAGCTGACAGCTATTTTGAAATTTGGAGCAGAGGATCTCTTCAAAGAACTTGAAGGGGAAGAGTCAGAGCCTCAGGTAATTAACAATGTAGAAAATGTTTTTTGACAAGTATTATCTGTGAGAGTCTACATTTTTCTGGAAGCAGATTGAGTCTGTGTTAGAGGCTTGTATAAAGAAATAGTAATTACTTGAAGGACATAGCTTCTTTTTTCAATTCTGGAGCTCAAAGCTCTTACTAAATTGAGTAGGAAAGAATGAGAAAAGCATTTGAGGATGCTGTCTTTGTCTGTTTTTATTCCATTTTCTTGTAATTTCTGAAGTTTCACCTTGTCATTTGTATAAATAATAGTTTGAACTTTGAGGTGTAAAGGATGTAAACCTGAGTACTGTAGAAGTAAATGGAATATCAGAAAGGAGATTTAGTTTATTTGTGCCAAACACTTGCAGTCAGTGCTGATCACTGTTGCCATTTTACCGTATTTGGGTTGCTTTTTTCCTTTAGGAAATGGATATAGATGAAATTTTGCGTTTAGCTGAAACGAGAGAGAATGAAGTATCGACAAGTGCGACAGATGAGCTTCTATCACAATTTAAGGTATGAAAAGCATTGTGGGAGAGAGTCCTCAGCGTTGATTCATTAACTATTAATAACTAAAGTCTGTGAGTACTTCCTGTGTGTGAGGCACTGTACTTTTATCTTCATCTTAATTGACTCATATCTTCAGTATCATTCTCTTGAGTTCCGAGTATGCTGTGAGTGTAGATTCGGTCTTCCTCATGAAGGTAACCACTGAAGTGGTCCATCCTGCTCAGAGTCAGTGAGTAGAAAAGTTGGTGAAGAGGGCTGAGAATATGCTGTCAGTGGATAGGTGGAGAACTAGATAGTGTGGAGCTCTGGGAGAAGAGGAGGGTGGTAAGGGAGACATTAATAGAATCCGATGACAAAGGTCAAAGGTGTGAAAACAGAAGGTGACAGTTGGGAAGCTCTTGATAACTTGGTGGGGTTTTTTTTTAAGAGCAATTACAGGGTGCTCAGTGGTAATATGATGTAACAGAAAATTATGTGAGATCAGGACTAAATGCAGAAGCTAGGCACCAGATGAATAGGAGGTGGCAGCGTTGAGTATAGACATTAAAAACCTTAGTAAAGTGCACAGTGAAGGTAATTTATGAGCCTAGAAGGGCCAAACAAAGTAAGGTTTTTGAAAGATGTTACCAGGTTTCTAGGTTTTTGGAAAGAACTTGAGAATAGGGAGACACCGAAGGTTCTAAGCAAAGAAGGAAAATTTGATGACACATTGCCCCAGAGGAGACTGGAAGGGATAATCAAAAGCCTAGCTGGAGGAGATGGCTTTTGAAAGAAAAAGGAAAGTCCACTGTAGGGAATGGGAGGGGAGAGAAGATGTGGGAATTCCAATTGGTGGTAAAGTAAGTCAAGTATTTGCTGGAAGTGGAAAAGACTTGGGATGGCCATAGGTGTGGCCAGGAGTTGCTGGGAGGAGCTTCATAGGGAGTGAACTGAATTCCGAAGATAGAGTTTCACCTTGGAACCACTCAGCAGGGTCATAAGACTTTCTCCAGCAATACTTGAGGTCAGGGAAATTGGATCAGTTGGCGATCCCAAGGTGGGAGATTGGCTTGGGAGGTGTTGGAGGTCAAAGTGGCAAAGGCTTTCCAGGTTCAAGTGAGAACGTGATTGAAAGGATTGGCAATGGGCTGGTTGCCTGCAGGTTAGTGAAGCAGGGGAGATGTGGAGGTTGTAATGATGGTTAAGTGTGGCGGAACCATTAGGATTAAGGGAGAAGTGAGTGAAGTGTTCGGAAGGAAGCAGTATTGTGTGAAGAGGTCCAAGGTTGGCCACAGGTAGACGTTATGTCAGTGGAAGAACAAGGAAGGAGCTAAGCGTGTCAGAGAGCTCTAGGACCAGAGTTATGTGTCTGAGGATGTAGAGGACGGAGGTGAATTACTGCTGTTTCAGCTGGATTCAACTTCGATGACTACTGCTCCCTTCTTAAACAGACGTAATCTTGACGGTGTCTTGGTCAGAGTATCATATGATTATTTAGGTCTAAAAATTTCTGTATATTACAGGTTAATCAAAAGCAGTCAGCACATTGCAGTGACTCTTGCCTTACTAAAGCCCTTTTGGCCATTATGTTTCAGCACCTGGGCAAGTAATCTGATTAAAGTAGGAGTCGGCTAACGCTAGGAGCTCTCTGTTTCTGGAGTGATGCAACTGAGTGGACTTTAATTTTTCCTGATGATCCTTTTCTTTTTTTTTTTTACCCTAGTGTAACGTGTTTGAAGGGCAGCAAATATTTTCTTGTGACAACTTAAGATTTCCATTTTCTTTCATAATAATGACCAACATATGTATAACCCTTACTATACTTTAAGTACTATTTTAACTCCTTCAGTCCTTACAACAATCCTATGATGAAGTAGATACTAGTATTATCTTCTTTTGTAGATGAGGAAATAGGCACAGAGAGGCTAAGTAGGTTTCCTAAGGTCACACATATGTGGAGTTGTGATTACATCGTAGGCAGGTGGTCTGGCCTACAGTCTGACTCTTAACCACTGTGCCACCCTTGGAAAAGTTAAATTCCCAACTGTATGAACTACCAACATATATGTGTATTTATATCATTTTCATCTAGCTGTTTTGAAAATCAGGTCTAAAGGAATTTATAAACAGTGCTTAATTTAAGAGATTGGTCAGATGATGATTTTTTTTTTGATGAGGAAGATTGGCCCTGAGCTAACATCTGTTGCCAGTCTTCCTCTACTTTGTATGTGGGATACTATCACAGCATGGTTTGACGAGTGATGTGTAGGTCTGTGCCCAGGATCCAAACCCGCAAACAGCAGGCCGCCAAAATGGAGTGTGCAAACTTAACCACTATGCCACTGGGTCAGCCCCAGATGATTCATTTTATGAAACAGAAAAATGTTAAATTTTCAATCTCAGAAATTATACCTCTTGTTTTTTCTTGGAATTTAAAAAATCTGATTGTAAAGATCACGATATCTTTGTTGGAAGTTAGAGATAATTTTGGCCAGAAGTCATGAACTTCTGTGTTCACTGACGGTCCAAGTGACTTTGAGGGATGGAATCTCCGAAAACTCTTTTGTACTTCATTCTAGTCACAAAGGCTAGGTGGAAAGAAAGAAAAAGAATGTGGAGCCCGGGCCTGGGGCCTGCCCACCACTGCTCAGAGGCTGGCCAGAGTGTGGATGTTTCTGTGTGGCCATTGTGTGAGTTTTGAAATGAATGCACTTAGATGGTTTTCTTTGTGGGATACATACTGTTTCAATACAAATAGATATTAAATATTTACAAAGTAAATGGAATATTCTTCCAGGTTTGAGTGTTTTGCATTTTATGTTCTGATTTTCGTTCTTAAGACTAAAGAGCACTTTTGAGCAGATGAAATCATGATATACCTTTAGCTTCTATAATTTTGATCAAAATGGATAAGGAACTAGTTAGCTACATGACAGCTAGTACTTTGAATTATACATCGTTTCAAATGAGCTCTATTTAGTAGCAATTTATAATTTGTAGAACTTTAAGTTCATAAGGGATTAGTATTAGGTATTCAGCGTTTTATAATCTAAATAAATCTAAATGTTCTAATTAGTATCATTTATTAGAAAATGTATATAATTTGACAATTAAAAGTTATAAGACAATTTATATCTTTATGTCTGTTTCCCTACTTTTCTGTAAAATTTCTGATGAACTTAAGGGTTTGGCAAGTTGATTTTGGGGGAAGAAGGGAGAGATTAGTAGCAGATTGATTATTTGGTTGTCTAATATCGTAAAAGTTCTATTGTTATTCTTACCATCTTACACTTAAAATACTGGGTGAGTTGGTGGTTTAGCAGATGGTGTTTGAGAAATTGTCAGACAGTGGGTTCTCCATTTGTTTTAAGGTTGCCAACTTTGCAACAATGGAAGATGAAGAAGAGCTGGAAGAACGTCCTCACAAGGACTGGGATGAGATCATTCCAGAGGAGCAAAGGAAAAAAGTGGAGGAGGAGGAGCGGCAGAAGGAGCTGGAAGAAATTTACATGTTGCCTCGAATTCGGAGTTCCACTAAAAAGGTGATCAAGTGAGATGAAAGATATGAAAGTACTTTTTATGCTCTAAAGGCTACCGAAATGCTGATTATTCAAGCAAGAGGCCCTGCACTGTTGCCCTGACTTGTAGGGTTCCAGGGCGGAGCTGAAGGGAACCTCGCAGAGGAGAATGGAAAAATGCACAGGGCTCATGTGCTTACCTGGGAGACAGTGATCTGTGCACACTGGCTCTTTGTGAGTCGGCTGAACAGGATCTGAGTTTGACAGAAGTTTGCATTCTGCCGTTGGAATTAGGACCAGTAATCCTAACAATTTTGTTCTAATTGACAGTGCCTTCAACTTCCAGAGTCAAACCTCTTTTTGCCTTTGTTTGTTTATAGCACTTGGTATAAATACTTAGTAAGAGATTATATAGCTGTAAACAAAGAACATACACATACTTTACAGCTTACAAAGCCCCGTCACAAGCACTCTCTAATTTGATTTTTGCAACAACATCAAAGTAGGTAGGACAAGTTTTCTTACCCAGTTTGTTGGACATGATAGACTCAGGTTTGTCCAAATGGTGGTAAATCAGTATTGGCTAATAGTAGCTACCATTTTTTGAGCACTAGTTGTTTGCCAGGCATCATTTTAAGTGCTTTTACGCTTATTGACACGTTTAATCCTCATGAAAACACCCTGTATTATAGGTACTATTATCCCTATTTTACAAATTGGAAACAAAGGCACAAAGAGGTAAAGTAACTTGCCCAAGGAAGTAAACATGAGCCTACAGTCCAAATATTTTTATTCCAGTTCACTTATCATTACATTTCAGTATGTCTCTGGAAGTATGGATATCTCAAACAGGTCTTCCTTCATCACATGACATCTGCCTCCTTATTTCTTAAAGGAAAATGGAATTGGCTGATGTGATGGGAAGTTCTAAGTACCAAAGAATTAAGATGGGCTGATCTTGGTACTTAGACCTCTTGCACCTGGCACTTGTTATAATTTGACTTTGCATTTTCAGGCTCAGACGAATGACAGTGACTCTGACACTGAGTCTAAGAGACAGGCCCAGAGATCCTCGGCCTCTGAGAGTGAGACGGATGACTCTGATGATGACAAGAAGCCAAAGCGCAGAGGGCGTCCCCGAAGTGTGCGGAAGGACCTCGTAGAAGGATTTACTGATGCGGAGATCCGAAGGTTGGTGGAGGCTCTGCTCTCGCTGGAGCTCTTGGGAGGGCGTGATGTCAGCCTTGGGCTGATTGGATCCCTGACGTTTCTGACAGGGTGGGTGGAGGCTAATGCCTAGAAGAAGGGCAGGAGAGACTGGGTCCCGCCCCACGTCTCCGGGGTGCCGCTGCTTCCTCCGAGATTTTCCTCAGTTGAGCTCTTTTTGTTTCCAACTGTTCTGTGCTTATTCTGAACATTTTCACAAAGAAAGTCCAGCCAGGAGAAAAGAGACAATAGGAGGTAAACCTGGGCTGCAACTTTCTTTTTTGTTTTTAGTCAAGAATATGAATACATACATGCATATGTATTTGTGTGTGTGTCTGTATAAATAAAAGAAATAGTATAAATACCAAAAATTAAAATGATACAGATAAGCCTCCCTCCACCTGCCGCCACCCTCTATCCAACCCCCCCCCCCCCCCCCCCCCAATCTACCCCTATCAGTGCTGGTATCAGTTTGGTGATGATTTGGTTTGGTTGGTTTTACACAACATACCATTCTGCAGCTTGCGTTTTTTCCACTTAGAATCAATTTTACCTCAGTCCTTATTCCACATTTGTTGTGTCCGATTCACACCCCTCTGCCCGCCAAAAAAAAAGATCTAAAATTGTTGCTTCCAAACCATTTTTTCCCCAGTTTCCGTGTTATTTTTTTTAAAAGGCTGAAGAAAATAGAAAATATGAAGATAGCTTTATGGTCTAATCCATGTTATAATTATATCAAATAGTCCTTTTAAGTCAATATATTTGAAATCATAAGGTCTTTATTTTCCCCTAAATGTTATATGTATTCTTTTCTTTCTTTGTTTAATTTATTATGCAAAAATGTAAATACGTACAAACATTGATAAAATAGAATATAAATCACCCCTACGTACTTATCATCTTAACCATTTTGAATTTGTCGTCAGTCTTGTTGTATGTGTATCCTACTTCTGTCACCCCTTTCTCCCAGGATTATTTTGAGAAGAATGTGTTTTCTGCTGTAGTTGGGCAGAGTGTTCTACAGATGTTTGTTAGGTCTGTTTGGTTTAGTGTTGTTCAGGTCTTCCATTTCCTTGTTCTGGAATAGATGTTAGTTGTTCTTGTGAGGGGGAGTGGAGTCAAGAACGATTTATGGTGACATCACTTCTCCCTTAATTCTGTCAGTTTTTGCTTCATGTCCTTCGGGGCTCTGTTGTTGGGTGTCAGTGATACGTCTTCTTGATGGATTGGCCCTTTTATCATTATAAAATGTCCTTTTTTGTCTTTTGTAACAATTTTTGTCTTAACTTCATTTTTTAGTCTGCTAATAGTATAGCCACTCCAGCTCTCTTTTGAGTATTGTATACGGGTGTTGTGGATCTTTTTTTGTTTCAAGCTATTTGTGTCTTTGAATCTAACTTGTATCTGTTGTGGACAGGCTATAGTTGGATCATTTTTTTAAAATCCTCTCCCTCAGTCTCTTCCTTTTGATTGGAACCTTTAATCTCTGTTGAATGCAATTACTGATAAGGTAGAATTTACATCTGCGTTTTGCTCTTTGTTTTCTGTGTGTCTTGTGTCTTTTTTTTTAGTCCTTCAGGTCCATTACTCCCTTCCTTTGTATTACATAGGTGTTTTTTAGTATATCATTTAAATTCTCTTGGTGTTTCTTTTACTATATTTTTAGTTATTTTATTAGTGGTTGCCCTGGAGATTACAATTAAAATATTAACTTAGAACAGTTAAGTTTGGATTAATACCAACTTAATTTCAATGATACATTAAAATTTTGCTCCACTATAGCTCCATTCCTCCCCCTTCTTTTGTGCTATTATTGTCACACAAATTCTGTCTTTACACTTTGTAAGCCCATCAACGTAGTTTTTTAATTATTGCGTTATGCAGTTTTTAAAAATCAGATAGGAAAAGAAAAGAGTTACAAACAAAAATACATTTATACTGTCTTTATATTTATTTACTCAGTATCCTTACTGAGGCTCTTATTTCTTCATGGGGATTTGAGTTAGTGTTTAGTGTCCTTTCTGTCTGCAGGACCCTCTGTAGTATTTCTTTTAGGGCAAGTCTGCTAGCAACAAATTGTCTATTTTTGTTTATCTGGGAACGTCTTAATTTCTCCTTTGTTTTTGAAGGGTAGTCTTCATTAAGTTCAACTTCTGGACTTCCTCAGAGAACATTTCCATTGGCTGTTTTTTTTTAAATGGGCAATACTTTCTTGTTTCTTTGTCCCACAATTTTTTGTTGAAAACTGGACATTTTCAGTAAGAATGTGGCAAGCCTGGAAATCAGATTCCCCCTGCCAGCCAGAGTTTGTTGTGTTTGCTGTTTGCTCTGTTACTGTTTGCTTGTTGAGTAACTTGCCGGACTAGTTCCGTGAAGTCTGTATTCTTTGTCATGTCATTTGAAGTCTCTGCTCATTTAGCTTAGTGATCAGCTAATGATTGGACAGAGATTTCCTTAAACGCCTTGATCCACTAAGTCTACCAGCCTTTGTCTGAAGGGCTCCCTGTGAACGTTGGGGCATGTTTTCGGTGTTCGGCAGGCAGTGTACCACTCTGCCTTATTCTTCGGTTTCTGCTTGCGTAGAGCCTCAGGGCCAGCCAGAGGGGAGAGATGAACAGCTTCTCAGGTCTTTTCCTGTGCGAGCACATACCCCTACACATGTCTGTGCCTTCTACATTCTCAGTACTATGTCAGATTTTTTCAAAGCCCCCGTGGACATCTTTCCTCCCAGTTTTTCCTTTTCAGTATTTGGTCAGTCTGTTGATAGCCCTGACTGGTAATGTTTCCTCAGGCAGCTGTGGTGTTAAACCTTTGCCTTGAATTGTTTGTGGCCAATGAACTATGACCAGTGCTCTTCACACAGGTCAAATGAAGACAGGTCTGAGATTGGAGCTTCTCAGGGTGGAGTCAGGTCAAATAGCGCAGTTCTCTGGGGAAGGAGCTTCTGGGGAGCTCCAAACATGTTCTGTCACTTCCAGTGGCTGCTGCACTGCTCCTTTGCACTACTAATGTAGTTGCACAAGTGTTGGTTTTCAAGGCTGTCACGGAAGTGGCGAGAGGGGCATGGGCCTAGAGCAAGTTAAAATGCTGGAGAGCACACTGTTGTTACTGAGACCCAGCCATTTTCTTGAATAAATGCCCCTTAAATGGCTGTAAACCTTTGGTTAATTTCCAGAGTGCCAGCAAAGTTGATTTTGACAATTTTTGTCTGTGCTTTTGTTGCTTTTATGGAGGAGCAGATTTTCAGAGATCCTTACTCTACCATTCCAGAAATCTTTCTCCATCTCAGGATTATTTTGAAGTAAATCCCAAAGGTCATATTATTTCAGATGTAAAATATTTCAGTATATATCAAGAAGGAGAAATGTAGAGTTGAGGAATAACCCTCAAATTCACTTTTCGCTTACAACACTTGCCTAATCCTTGTATCCATGCTGCCTCTGTAGTGTTCTGTCTTATCTGGTGTCATATTCACTCCCATTTTCTTCAATTGCCGTGCCTCTATTTCCGTTTTTCCCCCATAGTATCTCTCTTATACTGTTAGCTGACCAGATTGTTTTAGTACTTTGGCCTGTTACAGTGAAGCCCTTTATGTCTAGTGACATCGTGCTTTTTAGTGAGAGTGCTAGTGGTTAGCTGTAGGGAGGGGAGCAGGTGACATGTGGATTGGTGTATAGCATGGTTTAGGGTAGAGACGTTTGAAAGGATAGATTGGATCTTTGGTTGGAGACAAGGTTGGGCAGAAGGAGTCAGCAGTTTCCTAAGTTTCGCCTAAGATGTTTTAAATCATATATTTATTTTACTTTTCCTCGTTCCAAAAAGTATTTGAGGCAGTCCTAAAAAATGTCATGGTTGTATTATTGACCAGAAAATAATGAGAAATATTGCAGTATGGAATTGAAAGTAACAGTAGTGGACTGAGTAGGCCAGTTGACTGTGTTGGGATTTTATCATAAGAGTTATGGTGATTGAATCATCTGTTACTTATTGAACTCCATAAACTTGTACTTCTGAAAAGGATAATATTGTTACAGTTAAGTCACTGTTCTCAGTTATGTCCCTAAGCATTTTCACCATCAGTCACTGAGAATAAAGTTCATCTTTAGTTTGAATGGATTTCTGGCCCTCATTATTTTAAGTTGGCCATTTTCAAAGGCAGTCAGTGTTCATTCATTTAGTGGCAGTTACAAGGATTGGGCTCTGTTTTTGACAGTTTGCATGCTCGTACAGTCATGTGCTGCAAAACAAGATTTCATTCAACGATGGAGAGCATATACAATGGTGGTCCCATGAGATTAGTACTCTGTAGCCTGGGTGTGTAGTAGGCTCTACCATCTGTTTGTGTAAGTCCACTCTGTGCTGTTCACACAACGACGAAATCGCCTAACTGTGCATTTCTCAGAGTGTCTCTCTCTCATTAGGCAACACATGACTGTATTTCATTACAGGATATGTTTGCATTAACATAGCTGAAGTCTCTGTTTTTTAATGTGTTTTATTTATCACGTTCTTAGGTTCATCAAGGCATATAAGAAGTTTGGTCTCCCTCTTGAACGGTAAGCTTAGTAATAGTTCCTTGTCTGCCTCTTATTCACTTTTATTATGGAGCAGTTTCTTTTTTGGTACTATTTTCCATTTAAGGTCGGCCACCTTTTGACAGCCTGATTTTTAGACATTAATGTATTCACATGCTTCCTATGATTTGGAGATCAATGAAACATATTGTAGAAGTAACTGTACTTTGCTTCTAGGAACATTGCAGTGAATGAGAGTACGCTGGAAAGGAAAGCACAAGGAAGCAAACTAGTGCAAACGGTTTTTGGGCTCTTCACCTGCTACCATTATTAGACAGCCTATTTAGTTATTAAAGAAAGCTGAACCCTTTTCCTTCTGTGTTTTGAAAATTACTTTGTTTTGTAGACTATTCCAAGGCACAATTATTTTTTTATTTTTCTTTTATTTTTGAGGAAGATTAGCCCTGAGCTAACTACTGCCAATCCTCCTCTTTTTGCTGAGGAAGACTGGCCCTGAGCTAACATCTGTGCCTATCTTCCTCTGCTTTATATGTGGGATGCCTACCGCAGCATGGCTTTTGCCAAGCGGTGCCATGTCTGCACCCGGGATCTGAACCAGTGAACCCTGGGCCGCTGAGAAGCGGAACATGGGAACTTAACCGCCGCACCACCGGGCCGGCCCCAAGGCACAATTCTTTATAATGGGAAATGAATAAGTTACCCCAGTGTTGCTGGAGCCTTGGAGTGATTAATAAAGGAATGTAGGGAAAAGTGTGTTTGCAGTAGCAAGCTTAGATGAGACCAAGTGTTATCTCATGACATTAGAAAAGTGGGTGCAGGGCCTTGAAGTGTCCCTGTATTTGTCTTTCCTCAGGCTGGAGTGCATAGCACGTGATGCTGAGCTAGTGGATAAGTCTGTGGCAGATCTGAAGCGGCTGGGTGAATTGATTCACAACAGCTGTGTGTCAGCGATGCAGGAATATGAGGAACAGCTGAAAGAAAATGCCAGTGAGGGTAAGTCAACTTCTCTGATTTCCCGAAACCTCGCACTGTGTACTGGGATTTCTGCTGCTGAAGGGCCTTTTTTAGAACAGACTTGGATCTCCTGCATCTCTATTCCTTTGAGGCGTGTATGCTGACCCACCTTTATGTGAGCTCAGTGCTGTAAGATCCCAAAGATTTATTCACAAACGAAGTTGATTTGCAGAAGGTGCAGGGTAATGAGCAAGATGACTGGTTTCTTTTTATGTTGCTATAGAAAGTTTAAATTGATTTGAATGACGTGAGGACCTAGTGGGCAAAGCTGAGCAGGTACAAAATACAGCTGTATTTTGGCTGTAAACGAGGACATCATAGACCACAAGCATCAGTAATTATCTTCTATATATGTATACGTATTGTTTTGTTGTGGCAAATTTAAAGGATTTAGAGAATTGTGATAATAAAATATTGGAGGAATATTATAATCATTTTTCTTACAGTGAGATTTTCATGGCACTATAAGTTGTTGTGCAGTCATGCGCTGCATAACGACTTTTTGGTCAGCAATGCACTGCATGGATGGTGGTGGTCCCATAAGATTAGTAGCATATAGCCTAGCTGTGTAGTAGGCTATCCCATCTAGGTTTGTGTAAGTGCACTCTGATGTTCCTACAATGAAATCGTCTAACGACAGTTCTCAAAGCATATCCCTGTCGTTAAGTGGCACGTGACTGTAATTGGGTGTGACCTGTAGTGTATTTTCCGTTATACCCCAGAAAGTGTTTTTGCCTGTCCTCTAATAGTAGGAGGTCTGGGGTGGCTTGTGAGGAGAGAGCTCTGAAGTCATTATTATTAAAGGACATCCTCATAGTTGAACCTCAAACAGGGAGATGAGGGTGTTGTCATTCCGGTTCACTGGTACTGTGGTCCATTTGTACCATTTCTCCCATTCTTGCGTCACCCTTCACTACTCTAGAAGCTGCTCTCAGGGGGCTCTCTCTGCTGTGGTTAAGTGTTCGGGCCCTGGAGGCAGCCAGGTTACCTGGAATCTTGGTTTTGCCATTTCTTATCTGCAAGACCTGAGACAAGTGATAGCCTCTCAGCAGTCTTGTTGGCAAAATGGAGTAACAGTACCTCCCTCAAAAGGTTTGGATGACTACTTGAACAGTTCCACACATGTGAAGTGCTTAGGTAGTGTCTGGCTTGCAGTATATTAGCTATAATTATTAAGTAAAAAAGTTGTGCTTTGGGAATTTCTTTTTAAGGATATTATTGAAGGTAATAGAATTTAAAAAGTCTTAAATATAGAAAAAAATTTTAAATGTATTTTCTTTTTGTGAAAGAAACTTGGTTTTGTTTTTTTTTTTCTTGAGGAAGATTAGCCCTGAGCTAACATCCACTGCCAAGCCTTCTCTTTTTGCTGAGGAAGATTGGCTGTGAGCTAACACCTGTGCCCATCTTCCTTTATTTTTTACGTGGGACGCTGCCACAGCATGGCTTGATGAGCAGTGTGTAGGTCCGCACCTGGGATCCAAACCAGTGAACTCTGGGCCAGTGAAGTGGAGCACGCAAACTTAACCACCATGCCACTGGGCCTGTCCCTAAAAGAAACTTTTAAGTAACTTGAGTGGTTTGGACAATGATTCAAATATGTGCTTTTTTTTTTTTTAAGATTTTAATTTTCCTCCAACAGTCCCCTGGTACATAGTTGTGTATTTTTAGTTGTGGGTCCTTCTAGTTGTGGCATGTGGGACGCTGCCTCAGCATGGCTTGTTGAGCATTGCCATGTCTGCGCCCAGGATCGGAACTGGCATAACCTGGAGCCGCCGAAGCAGAGCACTCGAACTTAACCACTCAGCCACGGGGGCGGTCCCCAAATCTGTGCTTTTAATAGTACCCAGGATATATCCAAAAGTAAACCTCAAGTTTACATTTTTTTCTTTTTTCATTGTAATTGTTTCAAATAAGTATTATAATCACATGGCTTAAAAATGAAAAAGTTATCCCTATTTCTTATCTCTTTCTAGAAATTTAAAAATACATATGTACAAAAAAATGAATGATATTTTTTCCCCTTTTAACACAGATGGTAGTGCAGCATGCATGCTGCTATACCTTGCTCTGTCCTTCTCTCAGCATATTTTGGAGATATTTCCTCCTCACAGTGCCCTTCCTCTCACGTGCCTCTCTCTGTGGGGTTCACATTCTGGATCTGACTGCTTGCCTCCTCCTGGCATTGCCTGTTTCCCTAAGCCTGTATTGCCTGTAAACTGGTGTTCAGGTATTCTGAGTCCAGGCTGACATTTCCAGTTCAAACGTAAGATTATCGATACCTCTTTTCTTAAGCTGAAAATTTTTGTTCCTGAAAATGTTAACGTAATCGTGTATTTGTCTTGTCTTATAACATGTTACCAAATATCAATACCAATCTTACTGTTAACAGTAAGACTTTTCAATGCAAAGTTTGATGTCTTTGCATTTCTTTTTGTGCTTAGAATACATCCCAGTATCAATGTGCAGTCAAAATACTAGGTTTTAAAATTATTCGAAGTTGTTCTTTTCTCTTTGTGGTTATCCCACCAACTTAATATAGTTTAGCTTCTTTCATTTTTATTTAGTTTCAATTTTTAGGGATTACTTTTCTCATTTTGATTTAACTTTGTTTTTTTAATCATGTAAATCATTTGCATGGTCCAAACTCAAAACTATAAAACAAAGGAACATTTGGAGAATGATGCTTTCATCCCAGTCCTCCAGTCCTATTCTCTTTTCTCTCCCATAGGTAACCGTTTCTATGAGTTTTAGATTTATCTTTCCATTGTTTCTTTTTAAAAATTTAAATCTGAGTGTGGGTATATTTCCTCTCTTATACAGAAGATAACGTACTGTGTGTTCTGTTCTGCACCTATTTATTTTCACATATGGCGAGCACTGCATACATTATGTAGAGATCATCACTCCTGCCTTGTACGATTGCAGTGTTCCGCTGTGTAGCTAGATGTTAATCCATACTTTATTGTTCCCTACTAATGACTATTTGGGTTGTTTTCAGTCTTTTACCATTATAAATACAGCCACAATGAATAAATAGTTTAATGAATATGCGATTTCATATCTCTGCCAGCATAGCTTTAGGATAGATTTCTAGAATTGGAATCACTGGGTCCTGCAGAAAATGCATATGGAATTTGGTTAGATATTGCCAAATTCTCTTCCAAAATCTGGCACCACTTACAATGCCACCAGCAATGTATATGTTTACAAGCCTCACAAACAGAATGTGTTGGCAAATATTTGGACTTTTGCCAAACTGATAGGTGAGAAGTGGTATCTCGTTTTTCCTTTAATGAGCAAGGTTGTGCATCTTGTCTAAGGGCCCTTTGTGAACTGTCTATTCATATGCTGTGCCCATTTTCTTTTCAGCTATTGGTCTTAATTTTTAGAATCTTTTTTTGATAAAAGTTGCCAATTTTCTTCTCTAGTTTGTGATTTGTGTTCTTACTTTGCTTATGGTATTTTGTGCAGAAAACTTAAAAATATTTTTACAGGGGCTGGCCTGGTGGTGCAGTGGTTAAGTTCGCAGGTTCCGCTTCGGCGGCCTGGGGTTTGCTGGTTTGGATCCCGGGTGCGGACATGGCACCGCTCGGCAAGCCATGCTGTGGTAGGCGTCCCACATATAAAGTAGAGGAGGATGGGCACAGATGTTAGCTCAGGGCCAGTCTTCCTCAGCAAAAAAGAGGAGGATTGGCAGCAGATATTAGCTCAGGGCTAATCTTCCTCAAAAAATAAATAAATATCTGTTAAAAAAAATTTTTATGTAGTCAAATTTATCAATGTTTTTTACCCTGTTGTGTTTGTATTTTGAGTCAGTTAAAAACGTGTTTTCTACTCCCAGGATATAAAGGAATTCACGCTGGTTTTTTTCACTCTTGTGCTTTTATGTGATTTTTCATTTACTTTTATATCTCTGGATATAAACTTGGAGTTTTTTCCTGGTGTATCCAGTTTTATTTATTTTTTCTATATGGCTACTGTTCATTAAAAATGGTGCTGCCTGATTTTTTTTTTAAGTGCTGCATAATCTGTCATGATTATACAGTATGTGTCCTGTTAATGAACATTTAGCTTTCTACTCTTTTGCTTTACCTTGTTGTGATAAATTATCTTTTTCTATGCATTTTGTTCTATACCCTCTCACCAGCAGTGAATGACAGTGTCTGTTTCCTCTTAGTCTCACCAACATAATATTATCAAATTTTTGAATTTTCCCAACTTGATAGGTTAAAAATGTTATGTGTAGACATTTAATTTGCATTTCTCTTATCATGAGTGAGGTTGAGTATTTTTCATATGTTTTGGAACCATTTGTATTTCCCTTTCTGTGAATTGTCTCTTTATCCTTTGCCCCTTTTTCTATTGCAATCCTTTTATTTTTCAGATGGGGAAACTGAGACCTAGAGAGGTTAATAACTAGAATTGAGAGGGGGAAAAAGGAGAGGGGAGCAGTTTGTTCAGATTTGGGAATAAATATCAGATTTCTCATTTTCAGAGCAGTGTCTTTCCCATTTTACCACATTCTGTTCCAGCTCTCATCAGTATTGTTGGGAATAGCATCTGCAAGTGAAATTGTAATGGATTACATGAGAACCCCTAAATAATTGTTTATAATTGTAGTACCATTTCACTAACTTGAATGTTAAAAAAAAATGAAATCTTTCTCAGGCCCTAAGGCATCTTTCCTCTCACAGATGAGTACCATTATCTCATGGATTTCAACTTGGACTCTTTGGTTAGAGTTGACTGGGTTTAATTTTTACTTCTAGGATTATTTTAATTTGAAACTAGGGAGAGGGTAACCTTTTCGTGATATCTTTTGTTTATCATTTCAAATGTGTTAGATATTAACTTGACCTCATACTTTTTTAGTAGAAAAATCTTTAAAACACTTAAAAAAAAACCCTATCTTAATGGGATACTTAAAAAACAGGAAAAACTTAAGCCATTAATATTATTCCTTCAGAATCTTCTTTTGTTAATTTTATTAATTTTAGAGCCAAAGTCTAAAACAGGAAGATTAAAATACAATTATAAACACTAGTGGATTAAAAAATTCTAAATCTTAAAAAACTGAGTAGTTTAGAGGTTATTTTACAAACATGAACTAAGAAAATTTTTTGCTTTATGGATTATATCTTTGAATTAACAGTAAGCCAGAGATGTATATTGAGGGAGGAAGAGTTCAGAGTTTGCTGATCTGTGTTTTTGGGGAAACTTCAGCAAATTCTCATGTAACTAATGTGAAATTGGTATTCTTTAGGGAAGGGACCAGGCAAAAAGAGAGGCCCAACAATCAAGATATCAGGGGTTCAGGTTAATGTGAAATCCATTATCCAGCATGAAGAAGAGTTTGAGATGCTGCATAAATCTATCCCTGTGGACCCCGAAGAAAAAAAAAAGTGAGTGTTTCATGTGCTCATGCCTGGATGGTTGTGTCATAAGAAAATAGATTTGAAGTTACAGTTATATTTAGTTATGTAGCGTTTTATTGTCTTAACATTGCAGAATACTTTGTCCGTGTTCATTTGTGTTCATTTTCAAATCAGAAAGACTCCTCCTCTAATGTCCTCCCTTTTTTTGAAATCCCTTTAGATACTGCTTAACCTGCCGCGTCAAAGCTGCACATTTTGATGTAGAATGGGGAGTGGAGGATGATTCTCGCCTATTGCTGGGAATTTATGAACATGGCTATGGAAACTGGGAGTTAATTAAAACGGATCCAGAGCTTAAGTTAACTGACAAAGTAAGTCACTGTGATGCTGGAGATTTCTATATTTGTTGTTTAATATTTTTATATTTATTACTTAATTTTATCTATTCTCTTGGGGTCGGGGGATCAAGTTGGAAATTAATAAATTGGTATAATTGTAAATTCCTGGGATTTCTTTATCCTTGGAAATGTTACTATCTTTAGTGGCGTGTGGCACTGTTTCATAGATGCAGATAATAGCCAGGGGAAATTTTTGGGAAATTATAGGAGAAATCTTAAAATTCTGATTTTTATTATAGGTCAAATTTCATTGCAACAAATGCCAGGGTAAGATTATTTATAATAAAAGCATTCTTTGGCCTTAGTTCTTGGCCCTTTGTTTAAAACAACCGTGTTTCTGTTCTACACAAAAAGAAAGAATGAGCCACACCTTGGTATTTTCTGTAATGGAATTAAACATTAGCTGTACTTCTCCCACAAAATCGAGCCTCCCACCCTATCTGTTGCAAATCAGGCTACCAAGTAGTAAGGCCGTGCTCAGAGCTGTAAGCAGGGAAAGCTGACTGGCTCAAATTTTAGTAGGATGCGCTCCATGTTGTGCTCCTGGCAGGGCTTTTCCTGGCACGTCAAACAATGCTCATCCCATGTGCAATGTTCTGAGAGGGTGACAGCACCCTGCCATAAGCACTGAGACCAAATCCAGTCTGGCCTGAGAGGTCCAGCCGTGGTAGCAGGGATGGATCCTGTCCTGGCATAGCTCAGTGCTCTCCGCAATGCTCTAAGAAGCATTTCAATCTAAAACGAAGCTTTAACCTAGCTCCAGGGATTCCCTGCTCCTGGAAGGAGGAAATCCACGACGGCTGGGATGCTCTAGCAGATGAAGCCAACAAGCCCCTCCTACCTGAGTTGTTCTACCCTGTTAACAGCACAGGTAGGAGCCAGTGGGAGAGCTGGATTTCTCCATCCCATTTTGTAAAACGAGAACGGCTCATAAGGGATTTTCAGTGACTGGGAGCCATGGACATGAGATAGGATCTGAGGCTTTATCTGTATTTTGGGTGGTTGGGGAGGGAAAGGACTGCTCAATTCTTTGTTGTCTCCGTTGATCCTGATCCACTAACCGGATGTGGGTGGTGGTGGGTGCTTCTCTTCCTTTCCTGTTGAAGATTCTGCCTGTGGAGACAGATAAAAAGCCTCAGGGGAAGCAGCTGCAGACCCGAGCGGACTACTTGCTGAAGCTGCTCAGGAAGAGCCTGGAGAAGAAGGGGGCCGTGACAGGCGGGGAAGAGGTGAGTGCGGCTGCCAGATGGGCTTCTTTCAGGGGACTCAGGCTCCAACCCTGCAGAGCCTCAGGGTTAGAGTTAGGGCAAGAGAAAGGATGTCCTCTCGTGCTGCACAGAATGGTACCTTCTCGTAGTCAGGTGTTGCTTTTGAGGTTCCTGTAGTGATGGTTTGGTTGGTCGTAATAGAAATGCTCATTTAATAATTGACCTAAACATTTTGGCAACTTTCTTATAAAACCCATTCTCCTCAAATATTGCCTCAGAATAGTCCTCATCTCTCCCACTGTCACTGGTCCAGATGAACGCTTGCTGTTTCTGTATGTTGCTGTTTCAATTTTGGAACATAGTTCCGGTTATTGTGCGAATACCGCTTAGTTTTCCTTTTGTTAGAGCCAGCTCTGGGCTCCTTGTAATAATGGGTCCCAGGGACAAAATGGCTAATTAGAATCCACAGTTAATTTGGAAACTGGACTTCAGTTAGGATTGCCTTACTTGCTCAGTGAAAATACCAGCTGAGTTGCTAATGAACTCATCTGAGCTTTATCTCCTTTTATTTCCCCAACTTATCATTTCAGTTCAGGCCTAGAAGGATGGGAATCTCATCCTAACTCCACACTTGGCCCTTTTTCACGTAATAGTATCATAAGTAGTGTTATTCTCTGGATAATACGTTGAGTATGTACTATAAGTTAGGTTCTGGAGAGACAAATTAGATCATGCTGAACTTGTAGATAACTGTGTCATATTTGATTGAGTAGATAAATGATATTTTAACCTTGTCCTTATTTTTACATATAGCATACTTCTAGGTTTTTTAATATTACTATTAAGTTTTTTATATATTATCTTTATTTGTATTTGGTGCGTGAGATGTTTTTCCTGCTTTTGAATTATATCTTTAGGCTGAATTCCAAAAAATGGCATCACTAGGTTCAGGGATATAGATGTTTTTATGTGGTATAGGATGTGGATAGGCCTACAGTTTCTTTTTCCTTCTTTGCCCCAGGTAAAAATGGTTGCACTCCTTTGAATTTCCTCTGAACTTTCTTGTTTGATTTGTATGGCTGCTACTGTTTTGAAGCATCATGATGTTATTTGGTCATGCTTTTGAGGGACTTGATTTGTAGTTTTATCATCATTTTCTCTCCCTTTCAGGCCAAATTAAAGAAGAGGAAGCCTCGAGTAAAGAAGGAAAACAAAGCCCCCAGGCTGAAAGATGAGCATGGAATTGAGTTTTCGTCTCCTAGACACTCAGATAATCCATCCGAAGAGGGAGAAGTAAAGGTATGAGGCTGGATTTCGGTTGAGGAGTTTTTTTAGCTACATTTATTCTGCCAACTGATATAAAACCATGTGAAATGCATTTGGTTTCCATGTAGAGTAGATAAAATGGAAATAGAATATATATATATTTTTGTTGAATCTGTGAGAGAGGAATATAGTTGTTCATTTCAGTCAACAATTGCAAATTCATAGAGAATGGAAGTAAATAAGGGGAACCATGCAAATTTCAATGTTAAATGGCAGTTGACACTCAGCCTCGCTGTTGAGAATGGTAGGGAGTGGCAGGGACTGTGGTTAACCAGGGGGCTCATGCCTAATGCAGAGGGGGCAGCTGCCATGCAGTTCAGTTCCTTGTTGGGCTAAACAGAATTCATTTGTGGGTCAGGTTTGGCCCGGGGCCTGCCAGTCTGTAACCTCTGGTCTAAGAAAAATGAAAAAGTACATTGGTGTCATTCCATGTGTTGTTTCAGTGAGTGACAACCTTATGGGATTTTATTGCGTTACCCTTTGAATGCAGTTGTACTTTGAGATTAGCTCCAACGATCAGCACTGGGTACAGGAACTAGCATGGATGTGAGTCATGCATACATGAATTCAGATACTAGCAGCTTCACCAATTACACGCTGACTGGGACAGGTGTCTAATCTCTTTGGTTCTCAGTTTTTTCCATCTGTGAAATGGGAATAATAGTGCCAATATTGAAGGGTTGCTTTGAGAATTAAAGAGACGATGTAAGTGAAGAGGATCCACCTCTACAGCCTTAGCTGTTTTTTACAGAGAATTTAGAGTTGTGTGAGTTGAGGGCTCTAAGGGCATGTGCTTGAAAACAAGCTTCTAAGTGTAGGTGCAGTGATGAGCCATGGAGGACAGTGCTTTTCCCCCCAGAAAGTAAACAAGTAAATACAACGTTTGTGGCAAAAGCTTATAGCCCTGTTTCTTTTCCAGGATGATGGCTTAGAAAAAAGTCCCATGAAAAAGAAACAGAAGAAGAAAGAGAACAAGGAGAACAAGGAGAAGCAGATGAGTTCTAGGAAAGACAAAGAAGGCGACAAGGAGAGGAAGAAATCCAAAGAGAAGAAGGAGAAGGTATTGATGTTAGTTTATTGAGATTCTGCAGCCTTTGAAACTCTCTTCCAGAATTTAGAGATAGAATGGGGTTTGAGGGCTCTGAAATAGGCATCTTTTTATGGGTGTGTGCAGGAAGGAAGGATGGGGCTGTCAGAGGGATGCCTGCACCACTTCCTGCGGAGAGGGGACTGCAGGTGTGCAGTGCTCCTTAACATAGAAAGCCTTTACTTGCTCTGTATCCTGTATGTCAGAGGTGGGTGTTTGAATGAGATAGGACAGGTGAAACAAGCTGCATCTACAGGCAACTACTTGAAATATGCTCTCAGATTCATGGTAGAAAAGCACAATCCACAGATGGCTTTCAATATTTGAAGCATTTGGAATTCAAACCAAATACTATCAAGAGTTAAGCTTTTGGAGTAGAAATGAATGAAAACCCCTGCTATTATATAAGCTTCACTTTGGGGGTTTTATGACGTTCATTCCAAACCACAGAATCCTGGTACAGTGTTGCGTGTATGTTTGCTGACTTCTGATGAAATTATTTTGCAATTAATCCTTAATTGTTGTTAAAACATACAGGCAACGACTGTAATTCCACCATCCAGTTATCACTCCAGTAGATTTCTTGATGAATACCTTTGGAACTTTTGTGTTATGCAGTAGGAACAAATACAAAATAAAAATCAGACCAGGCTATTTGGGTAGCCTTTTCTCCCCACTTAGCCAATATATCACAAACAACTTGCCAAGTGAATAAATAATTGGTGAAATCATTTTTAAGAGATAAGGAAGATTCCAGTTGGTTATGACATCTTGGAAACAATTTAAGTCTCTCGTATTGAAATTGCTTTCAAATATTTAATGTTATAAACCATACTGTGACAGGTATCTTTGCATTTGTGCTTCCATAGAAATATTTTCTTTTTTTAAGGTGAAACGTTTCAAAACTAAGAGCACAAAGAACGATTTAACAAAGATCCATTTATCCACTACCCAGTATTACAGCTGTTGTTGACATTTTTTCATGTTTACTTCAAGTGGCTCTTTTTGGCTGCTGTATTTTGTGTTTCATGCAAACATTACCGATGCTGTTGAAGCTCCCCTTATTATTTCTCCCGACTTCATGACTCTCCCTCTCTTTTCTCTTCTCCGTAACACTACTCTGAAGTTGGTTTGAAGCCTTCCTGTCCATATTTTATACTTTTATTACATATTTTATAATCATAAAACGTAGTATTGTTCTATGTTTTTAAATGTTCATATTTGAAGTCATTTTTTATATATCTATATCCATCCTTCTGTAGCTTTTCATGGATAAATGAGATTTATCCATGTGGATTCATATAGATTGTAATCACTTACAATATTTTAGTTAATGCACATCCCCAGATCAAAGTGTATATTCATTTATAAGCTGTTGATAAAAGTTGCTACGTGATACTCTACAAGAGCTCTGCCAATTTACAATCTTAACCTCTTGATGTCATTTTTGTGCATTTATGGATGAGGGAATAGAAGCCAAAATAGCGTTGATGAAGCTCACGTTATAATTGGATATGTTTAGAGACAGAAATGGGAATGATGTATGCTTAAGCTGCTAATCAAATAGGTTTGTCTTCATGATGTCTCAGAGGACTTTATTTTACTTTTTTAATAAACTGAGGCCATCGTGTTTACCCACTGTAGCCATGTGACATAGGTTAAAAAGTCCAAATTGCAAGGCAGGATTGCACAAATGACAATGACTCCTTGTAACTCTTTTTTAAAAGCCTAAAGGTGGTGATGCCAAATCTTCGAGTAAATCAAAGCGATCTCAGGGTCCTGTCCATATTACAGCAGGAAGTGAACCTGTCCCCATTGGAGAGGATGAGGATGATGATCTGGACCAGGAGACATTCAGCATAGTAAGTCCTGAAATTGAGGGACACTGGTGTCTGCAGCCACGATGCTTGCTGCAGCTCTGCCTTTCATAGGTCCAGCCACACAGCCTCAGTTGGTCTAAGCACTAAGACATTACTTTGGAAAAACAGTCTAATATCTGAAGACCTTGTGCTCTGGAACAGGCTGGTAGGAAGAGATTTTCTTACTCTGTCTCTAGTGAAAAAGAATTTTAAGGAATGGATTTCATGTCTTGTGCTGCTAGTTGGAGAGGCTGCAGGGGCCCTTAGAGGCGTTTGGAAAATGGAAATGTTCACTGAGCTAACATTTATTGACTGCTTTGTGTGTGCCAGCCCTTGCAGTTACCATGTTGAATAAATAACTGTTTCTATCATTGTAAACTTTACGTTTGAGGAGGGGAGATAGGTAACCATGTTTGTGCTACTGTGATGGGACTGTGGAGGAAAAAGACCAGATACCACGAAGATCCTGTGAGAAAGGGATTTGACCCAGTCAGGGGATATCAGGAAGGCATGTTTAAGGAAGCAATGTGTGAATTGGGTTCCGAAGGAAGAGGAAAAGATAACAGGAAAAGAGGGGAGGGAAGAACATGCCAAGGCAAGGCAGCAGCACGCACGGAGGCCACGTGGCAGGACAAGGTGTGTGCACTGAGGAGGTTACAGAAGGCCACTGGCTGGAGTGGTGAGAGCAACGGGACAGCATGACAGGAGACGAGACTGGGATCCTGGCTGAGTGAGCTGGAGCAGCGGTGAACGTGGCATATCTTATGTGCTTCCGTGTTGTGGTGCAAGGAGCCTAGGATATGGTCTATCTCTCCTTTTGAGACAGGGAAGGTGGTGGGGAAGGAGTGCAAGGGCCAGATCTTGCAGGGTTTGGGAACAGGCCGGTGTATCCTCAAGACCCTTAGCCCCTTCCTGGAGCTGCATGTACGTCATTTCTCTGTGCCCCAGTCGACGATCTCCTCCCAACCCTCCTGTGGTCTCTTCTCCCCGAACTTGCATAAACCACAGTTCACTTGAGCAGTTAATTCAGTCTCAAAAAGAAAGTGATCTTCTTCTAAATCTCAAAATATTCCTGCTCTGTGGCAGCAAAGGATAGAATTTTGACCTCACCCTGTAAGGTAGTCTCCTCTCTCTTTACCCCTTTCTCTCTGTTCCCCAAAACCCATATGCATATGTATATGTATATTTTTTTTCTTTGCACTTATCTCATTTTTCTTAATTCTCTTTACTTTTCTGCCTGTGAGCTCTCTGAGGGCAAGTACGGTGTCTTATATAAAGTACATCCAGATGCTAGAAGTATATTGATAAATGAGTAAAGTGAGTAAATGAATAAATTCATTATACAACCAGCTATCTGATCTGTTTGCTGGTTCTTCCTTAGCCCAGTATTTGTAAGAGAAAAATGCTACATAATGCTTCTATCAATACCATACTATGTTAAAAAATACTTTTACATACTGGCTCATTTACCCTTGTTTTTGTATTATGAAATCTTTAAAAAATACACAAAAATCTCAGGAATATAATAGACATTGATATAGGTACCACGGAGCTCTGTCAAATCTGAATTTTTTAAAGCTCAGAATATAAAGTTGAGGCCCCTGGTGTTCTTCACTCTAAACCCATGCTTTTCCTTTGTTACCTCCCCAGAAGTGACCACGATTCTAAATTCAGTTATTATTCTCATGCGTGATTTTAGAGTTTTACTGCTTATGTCTCTAAAGACAGTAATAGCTCACATAAACAGCCCGGCATTGTGTGTGTGCTTTATGTGTATTTTCTCCATAACAATCCTGTGAGGTAGATAATTATTTCCATTTTACATATTAAAAAATAAGGTGCAGAGAGTTAAGTGGCTTGTCCTATGTCACACAGTTAAGATGTAGAGCAAATATTTGACCCTGGCAATTTGGCATGAGAGTGTGGGTTCTTAACTATTGTACTACACGGCCTCCCATTTATCCATAAATAGCGTCGAATATTGCTTCCCATGTTTAAAAGCTTTATATAAATGCCGCACTCTGCATCTCCTGTAACTTGCTTTTCTTCCCTCAGCATTGACGTTTTTGAGATTTATCCATGTTGATAGTTGTGTCTCTGATTTAAATGTTTCATATTATTCTGCTCTATAACTTCCACAATTTATTCTATCAGTGGACATTGGGGTTTTCCCAAATGTTTACTATTACAAAGAGGCTTTGGTGAGATTGTAAATATTTCCTTGTGCACATGTGTAAGAGCTTCTCTATAGAGTCTGTAGCTTCAACAGAAGCGCTGGGTGTTTCATTGGGTATGCACATCTACTTCTTTATTAGGGATTGCTGAATTATTCCTCAAAGTGGTTGTAGAGATTTACACCCCTTCTAGCAATGAATGAGAGTTCCGATTGCTTCCCAGTCTTGGAAACACTTGGTAATTTCTGACTTCTTAATTTTTGCTAATCTGAGGGGTATGAAATAGTGACCAGTAGTGTAGTTGGACATTCATGTTTCCATGAATGAATTGCCTATTCAATCCTTTGCCTATTTTGGGTAATTTGTCTTTTCTTGCCTTTTCTATAGAATCCTTATACATTCATGATAGAATCTTTTATCTGTTATAGTCATTACAAGTATCTTTTGGTTTGTGGTGTATCTTTCTCTTTTGTGTCTTATTTTTAAGTTGAAGTACAACATGGAAAAATAAACAGATTATAAGTGTATAGCTATGGTAATTATCACAAAGTGATAGAAGTTTGTAGGATTTTCGTTGTTCTGAAGATTCGTGATCATGTGCCTTATAAATTTGTTGTACCAGATATTTAGTGACTGACAACCATGTCCTACAGGTCTGAGAAATTTTCTCGAATTATTTTGTGATAATTTCCTCCTAAGTTCTTAGTTTTATCTTTATGGAACTCCTTGTTTTTGGATATTGGACTCTGGGAATGCTCCCTAATATAATCTTTTTTTCCATTTTCTATTTCTGCTTTTTTAGCTCTCATTTCTGGGAGATCTCCTCAACTTTATCTCCCATTATTTCTTTTGAGGTTTTCATTTCTCTTGTCGTATTTTATTTCCAAGATCTTCCTCCCCCACCTCCATGGTTATTTGGATGTTTTTATATTTCTCTTTATTTCCCATCATTAATGTTAGGTGTTTCTTCAGATGGTTTGGTAATCCTCAGTTGTCTCTTCTCTTTAGTTTGTTTTTTGTCATTCGTGTTAGATGCTTCCTCAGACGGCTTGGTAATCCTTGCTCATGCTTCAGAGTAGGGGACTGAGTGTCTGCGCTGAAGCTCTGAGCACATGGGGCTCATCAGCTTTGAGTGTGTTCACTGGAGGGTGATCTGGTTGGGCTTCTTCCTTGGGAAACTGCCAACGGATAGTCAGCATATTCTGGTTGTTCCTCTTGGGTGGTCAGATGTTGTGGGGAAGAATCCCCCAGTCTCCTGACTGGAGGGGAAGCCCTGGCCTCTTCATTCTGGAGTCCCAGAGGCAAAAGACTGGGCAGTGGCTCATCTGGTGTGCGTGTGTTCACAGAATCTTGTTTTCAAGGCAGTAGTCTTGCCGCTCAGCTATGCCTGTGTAGTCCAGTTCAGAGACCTTTCTTTTGTCCTCTCCAAAGAATAAACCTCCTGTCTTGTGCTGGGTGGAGTTGGAGACCTAGGTGTCTGTTATGAATCCGAGTGTCTCTTCCTCTTCAGCAGTCTTTTAGAAACCTGTCCTTATTTGTAGCTCTCACTCCAGTTCCAAAGGTCCTTAGTTAGTCTTTGGGGGAATTTTGCAGTATAAATCAGGTTGTTTCTCAGCTTTCTTCACTGCGGCCTTAGGATTTTAGTTTTCTCAGGTCTATGAAGTCATTTCCCTTGCTGCCAATATTTTGTTGCTGTTGTTTTCTCTTTCATTTTCCCTGTCTTTGTGAGCTTCTCTCTTTTAAAGCAATCCCTTTACTGTTGTTATAATGGGGCTGGGGAGGGAGAGAAATAGATTCTTGTCTTCAGTCCACCATCTTTATCTGGAAGCCTTTCCCTTAGTTTCTTAGAGTTCTGAAGGACTTGTAAGTGTTTTATCCTGGAGTTTTAGATAGTTTGTGCTGGGAAGTTTTCAGGTCAGGTCTGTAAATTTGCTTCTCATCTGATCTCCATAATGGCCTAGGAGATTGTCATGCCCCTCTTGTGGATGAGGAAACAGAGCAGCATTTTGAGAGGCCACATAAGCGGTAGAAGGTTGCTGCTCTAAAGGTTGGTGCTGGGACTTGCACCTCAGGTTTTTCTGACTCTGACGTTTATACTTGTGCTGCTGGCTTTCCCCGCGTCTCCTATAGTGACTATATGGCATGAGGGTGGGCCATGTCTTCTCTGGGAATTCAGGGCACAGTAAGCAAGGGAGAAGACCTCTTGGCTGCAGATATTTTATGTCTCTGCTCCCTTGGCCTGTTCCAGTGTAAGGAGAGGATGAGGCCTGTGAAAAAGGCACTGAAACAGCTGGACAAACCCGACAAGGGGCTGAGCGTGCAAGAACAGCTGGAGCACACGCGGAACTGCCTGCTGAAGATCGGAGACCGCATAGCCGAGTGCCTTAAAGCTTACTCAGACCAGGAGCACATCAAACTGTGGAGGAGGTAACCTACCTTGGCCTCGAACTTCCCGCTTTCATTTGACAGAGTGTGTGTGTGGCTTCTGTTTGTGTCTTATAAAAGGTGACATAGCCATATAATGATTTTTTTTCCCCCAGCGAAAGCCATATGTTGGCAACATACCTGCAGGTTTCAATCTTATTTTCCTGAAATAGGCTGTTCCACTGAGACCAGTTTTTTGAATGGGTAGGATGATGTCATTATGTTACAACAGAAAGACAGTGATGCTGGATTTGCTGGCCTACTTTCAGAATAAAGACTCAGTCTTTAAACCTGGAAGAGAGAGAAATCATCTAGTTTGACTGCTTCACCCATCTCAGGTTGATGTTCAGATATAATATGATAACTAATTGGTTAGTTCTCTACTAACACATGAGGGGAAACAAAGGTTAACACCATCGGAACTGTGAGCTGTCTATTCTCTTTAGTAATTGAAGAACTCTCGTAGTAATTTGGATTAATGCAGTTAATTTATAACTTTAGTTTGTAAGGCATCTTGAGTTAACATATATTCATTTCTATATTTACTTTTGATATTTTAAGAAAACATGACTGGAATTTCTGAAAGACAGTTGTGACATTGTCTCTTTCATAATCCACGGTTACTTTGAACACATATACTTGATGGTTAATGTAATTCTCTTTGTATAATATGCCCAGTATCAGTGGATTGGTTTTTGAGTAAAAATGGATTTAAGAACATCTTCTGTCATGATGCTATCCATAGCATGCTTCATACCTATAAAAAAAAAAAAGATACAAGTTTTGAATTGTTAACTTTTCTTCCCCTTTACACTATTACCAACTTCTTCCCGTACCTAGCCACATGGCTCCAACCTTAATCCCTGTTGGAAGATAACCAAAGGTCATCCTGGTACATAGATCCGTGAAACTAGGCTTCTTCCTGTGCACTGGGGCCTGTCTGTTCCAATGTGCTGGGCACTGTGGTCCTGGCTAGCAGTAGTTCATAAGAGGTTCTTGCCCACTCCTGAGAAACTGTCCATCATGAGGTGGTAATTGCAAGACCACGTGTATTGGGAGTTCCCAGGAGGAAGCACACGCAGAAGAATAGTGAGGGAGGGTGGTCTTCTGAGAGGCAGGCACGTATGCTTGAGCTGGGCAGAGAGGGGCTGAGTGGACTTGCTTAGATGAAGAGAGTTCTCAGGCTTCAGCAAAGGCTTGAACGTGGGGCAGTGAAGGGGTGGGGAGGTTTTTAGGGTTTGAAGGCAGTTGGTTAAGACAACTGAAGCCCTGTGACAGAAGGCCTTAGACAGGAAAGTAAATGGCTTTCCACGCGTTGCAGCAGGTTACTAGTTTGGGGGCCAGTACAGTATTCTGTGAGTGGTACAGCATGGCATGGTGAAACTGCTCTCTGGAAAGGGTGAGAGGAGGCGAGACTCCTTTTCCTATTCGCTGCTCTTAACACCTGTTTTATCTCTCACTTCTCTGTCGATGGCAATGCCATGCTGGGGTGACTACAGTGGAATTGGAGGGGAGAAGTCCCCCAGAGTTTTAAGGAAAAAACGACAGTCCTTGGTGGCATTGACTGGGAGGGAAGAAGGGGCAACCGTGCGGAGATGCCCAACTGTATGTAGGTCCCAACCTGGGAGATGGCGATTACAGCGGGTTGCATGGCAGAGTCCAGAAAGTGTGGAAGGTGGAGGAGGACTTTAGGACTGGAGTCTTGGTGCCAGGGAAATAAATTAAAATGGGATTTTAGCTGAGACAGAACCCTGGTCTCCGGACCCCTTGGTCAATCTCTGTTGATAGTAGCGTCTAAAGATGTATTATTGGGGCCGGTCCAGTGGTGTAGTGGTTAAGTTTGCTTGCTCCACTTTGACAGCCCAGGGTTTGCGGGTTCAGATCCCAGGCGCAGAACTGCACACCACTGTTCATCGAACCAGGGTTTGGCAGCATCCCACATACAAAATAGAGGAAGATTGGCACAGATGTTAGCTCAGCCACACTCTTCCTCAAGCAAAAAAGAGGAGGAAGACAACAGATGTTAGCTCAGGGCCAATCTTCCTCACCAAAAAAAGAAAAAAAGGTATAAAGATGTATTATTGATGCAAAGAACTGAAAGAATATTTCTGTAACTTAATTTCTATACTTTGAGAGTATTCCACGGCAAAATTCAATAGTTTGCCATCCATAAAGAGAATAAAAAAGTGATTTTAGAAATACTATAATTTACCAACTGGGTTTTTTTGTTTTTGTTTTTTTTAGGAACCTATGGATTTTTGTTTCTAAGTTTACAGAATTTGATGCTCGAAAATTACATAAGTTATACAAGATGGCCCATAAGAAAAGATCTCAAGAAGAGGAGGTAAAATACAAATTTAATCCTAATTCATACAAACAGATAAAAACCAGTTCTTCAGAAAAATTCCTTAATGACTGTTTTTCCCTGGGGAGAGGAGCATAGGTTCTTGGTGCTGGAGGGGTCGCTGGTTGTCTTCCCTTACTTTACAGATGGAGGCATGGGTCCAAGAGGGGTGAGGAAGCCCACCCGTGGCCTGTCCTGTCTTGCACAGTGTGCTCTGTCACCGTATCAACTGTGCAGTTTCTTAACATTCTTCACTGGTGGTCACACTAACATTCAGACCCGATGGTGAAATAGCCAGGTATTGGGACCAGCATTGAGATTCTGAGAAGGGGTTGTTACCCCGTGTTCTTCTGTCCTGGAATCGTTTATTCACCAGGCCTTTCCTTCTTCCATGAGTGCAGGTCTTAATTTTATCTTATAAATCTGGCTCCTGATGGGTAACAGGGTTGTGGGCAGAAAATACTTTTTCTGTTCTTTCTGGGCCATGTGTACTTGATGTCCTTCCAGCTTTTGTACGTAGGGTCCCAGCTGCTCACGTAAAGGAGCAAACATGAGAAGGTGCCCAGAAGTTGCCTCCCCTTTTCTGGTGTAGTGGGATGGACGCAGAAGTGACTTGGCTGACGCTGCAGGGGCAGTGTTCTGTGTGCAGTCATGTCCATTTGCAGATCTGCTGACTTGCCACATGGGCCATACCCAAATTAGCTGGTTAGGGCCCGTCTGGGAACATTTATGACCTATTCCACTAACACGTCAGCGCCACGAAGGCAGAGGTATTATGTCTCTCATCCCCTGCTGCATCCTCAGCTCCTGGGGTGGAGCTGGGCACAGGGCAGATGCTCAGAACTGTTTGTTGCATGAGCATGTCCTATCCCCAGCACTGTTTGGAGCGTGGCATAGTACCCTCAAGTCGTTTATAATTGAATTCTATATGGAAGAATATGGTATGGCAGTAATATATAGGAATAATATTCTAATGTTGCTGAACGTTAGTGTGAACTTTAAGCATTATAAAAAGACTTGAAAGAATAGTCAGGAAAGGCCCCAGGAGGGAATGAAATAGTTGGGAAAAGGCCTTTAGGAAAGAGATAAAATTAAAATGAGCTTTTGAAGTTGGACATACAATATAAAGGGCTTCATTAGTCTCAGTACCAGAAGTTGGGTGAGTTGAATAACGAAAGTAGTGATCCCACTAGTGGGGGTGTACACTGTCACAACCTTTCTAGAGGACAGTTCAGGAAGATTTATCAACAGACTAAAACATACAATTCTCCTTCTAAGAATTTAGTTTAAAGAGATAATTAAGAGTTAAAACATGTTTATAGTGGAAATGACTTGACCATCCAACAGTAAGAAATAGATTAAATAAGTCATGATATATCCATATCAGGGAGTATTATTCAACCATAAAAATAATGTTGTGGACATAAGTTCACATGAGAAGATTTGTACAATATATTAAGTGAAAAAAGAATACCAAATAATATTTTTGTTTAAAAATATATGTAGTATGTATGTGTAAACACGCACAAAGTGGCTTAGAAAGACATGGACCAAATTATTAACAGTGATTCCTTTGGTAGTGAGATTTTAGGTGACTTTGCCTTTTTTCTTTTTTTCTTACTGTATTTTCTGATGTTTCTATATCAAATACTTTACTTATTTGGTAAAGAAATGGTGTTACTCAAACATTTAGATGTTTAGTTTGATGACTTTGGCATAGGAACTAGTTCCCACTGGACTAGTTGGGGGTTGTTTGTTCTAGTTAGCCTCAGAAAGTTGATGGCCCTGGTTTTACCTGGTCTAAGAGGAATGTCCGAGCATGCTGCCAGCATAGGCCCCTGTGCCACGCCCTGTGCGGTGACATCCAGCAGTCGTGTGCATGTGCTTACAGGTACTTGTCAGTGGAGGTTGGTTTTCTTGTAGTGGCCTAGTAGGTCAGAGCCTCGGCTGGAGCTCTGTGAGGCCGTTCATGCTGTGGGAGCTCAGTGGAAGTGATGAGCAGTTTTTGGTAAGAAGGTGGTAAATGGCAGATCAAAAGCCAAGAGGGACAAGAAGGAAATATTTAGAGATGATGACATTTATACTATTCTTGAGAATTCAGCCTGGGATCTTGAGAGTCTTTGATTTCCTTTTATCTACAGGAGCAAAAAAAGAAAGATGACGTGACTGGTGGTAAGAAACCATTTCGACCAGAGGCCTCGGGCTCAAGCCGGGATTCCTTGATGTCTCAGTCCCATACCCCGCACACCCTTCACCCTCAGAAGCCTCATTTGCCTGCCTCCCATGGCCCACAGATGCATGGACACCCAAGAGATAACTACAATCACCCCAACAAGAGACACTTTAGTAATGCAGGTATGGCACTACGTGGAGTTTTTAAAAGAGGTACCAAAAGAAGAGTCATTTTATTTTCCAGACACAGCAGCTGGACCTTTGTGCTTTATTCTCTCCTGTCACTTTATTGTCCTCTTTTTTCTGAATGAGATAAAGCATGAGATAAACATTCCAAAAGGCTATTATTTCAACTTTAAGAAGAACATAGCCACCATAAACAAAAGACAAACGATAGACTGAGGCAAACAATTTACATTATATATGACAGTTAAATTGTTGAAACTGCTAATATTGAAAGAGCTCTTGTAAATTGATAACGAAAGGATACCCAAATAGAAAAATGGGCAAATGTTAAGAATAGGGAATTCATATAGGAGAGGAGATTGAAATAGCCAGTGTGACAAGATAACCAACATTCCTATTAGGGAAATGTAAATTAGAGCAGCAAGGCAACCAGTTTTTTTCCCCTTTCAGATCAGCAAAAATTAAAATGTGAAATACACACAAATTGCTAAGTATAAGTTGCTACAATCTTTCCAGAAGGTAATCTGAAATATCTAAATACATAGGCCCTTTTGCTGGGAGTCTTTCCTGTCGAAATAAAAACACACATGTGTCTGAGGATACCATTCTAGCCTTATAATGTCAAAAAGCTAGAAATAACTTGAGTGTCCATTAATAAGAGAATGGTTAAGTGAATAATAGGACATTTGTACTGTATACTATTATCAGTTATTGAAAAGAATGAGTTAGCTTTATAGATTAAAAAAACTTGGAGGGAGGGGCTGGCCCTGTGGTGTAGGGTTAAGTTCACGTGCTCTACTTTGGCGGCCTGGGGTTTGGAGGTTCAGATCCTGGGCATGGAGCTAGCGCCGTTCGTCAAGCCATGCTGTCATGGCCTCCCACATAAAATAGAGGAAGATTGGCAACAGATGTTAGCTCGGGGCTCATCTTCCTCACAAAAAAAAAAAATCGGAGGGAAAAAGAGCAGCAGCAACAACAAAATCCGTATGTCTGCATGTTTGAATTTGTTTATTGAGGTGAAATTCACATCATAAACTTAACCATTTAAATGATCAATTTAGTGGCATTTAGTACATTCACAGTGTTGTGCAGCCACTACTTCTGTCTTGTCCCAAAACATTTCTGTCACTCCAAATGGAAATCCCAGACCCTTTAAGCGGTGTCTCCCTGGTACCCTCTTCCCTCAGCCCCTGCAGCCACCCATCTATACTCGCTCTCTGGATTTATGTATTCTGGACGCTTCATATTAATGGAATCATAATATGTGTCTGACTTGTTTTAATTGGCATAATATTTTCAAGGTTCATCCGTGTTGTAATGTGTCAATATTTCATTCCTTCATGTGTCTGAATGATATTTCATTGTATGGATACAGCACAGTTTTTTATCCATTCACCAGTTGATGGACGTTTGGGTTGTTTCTGATTTTTGGCTGCTGTGAAGAATACTGCTGTGAAAATTTGTGTGCAAGTATTTGAGTACCTATTTGCAATTCCTTTAGATATATACCCAGAAGTGGAATTGCGGGTCATGTGGTAATTCTATGTTTAACTTTTTGAGGAACCATCAAACTTTTTTCATAGTATATGTTTGAATAATATATTTGTATAAGATAGAGAAAGATGTGAAAATATACACACAATATCAGTTACTTTAGGACGGTAGGAATGGAGGGGAGATTGGAGGAAGGAAGTTAGTGTCTCCATCATCTGTTGCTTCCCTGGTTACAGTGAGCATGAATTACTTTTAAAGATAAAAGTTATAAGAATAAAGGAGAAAAACCATATAGAATAAAATCTAAAAAGTATGTAGTATATATAGAAGCAGAGTATAAGATTTTACAGTCAAATATTCCATAATAATCAGAATGAAGTATACATTCCTTCTAAACTTGAATTTTAGGATTTCCATTTGATTTAAAAAAAATACATTCTGGTCTTCTGGTAAAATTCTCAAGCATTTAGAAAGGTCAATTTTCTCCATCTTTTCCTCTCTTTGTGAATATACTAATTGTAGTTATTAAAAATCTTGCCTGTTAACTCCAATATCTGAATTATTGTGAGTCGTTTTCTGTTGTGTGCTTGTTTTCTCTTGGCTTTCAGTCACATAGTCCTGTCTTTTGACGTGTCAAGTTATTTTTGATTAAATGAGGTACACTTTTTAAAAAAAATTGTAGAAGCTCCAAGTGATGTTAGCTTCTCCGAGAGAAATTCTCCCTTTCCTCCCCGGGGCACCTCAGGTGGGAGGCAATCATCTTGATCTGGTCTGCCTCTGCTCCCCTGTTCCTGGGGTTTAGCTCCTCATAGTGCTCAACAAGGGCCTGTGGCATCCTCTGCCCCTCCCCTTGGCAGGTCTTAAACTCGAATCTTGGTTTTCTCGGTACCATGAGACGGTCCCCAACTGCTCTGCTCTTCAGGGGGTTTCAGCTTAGCTTTTTAAAAAGCCTTCTGCTCGAAGTTTCAGCAAATGTCCTAAGGGAAGACTGGCTGTGTGTTAGAAGTCCCTCAAGTCTACTATGTCCCTCTAGCCTTAAACGGTCCCCAAAGGCTCTGCTGGTGTCTTCCCTCCAGCAGTGGCCCTCTAGCCTGGGAAAAGCTCGGATTTTCATCCTTTCGCCTGTGCTCAGAATCACAGGTTTCCCCAGTGGCTGCAGAAGGCAACTCTTACCTCTTGGAGGTTTTCTGCTCTTCAGTCTTTTTCCCTCTAGTCCTGATCGCTTTGGCTGTTCTTTGATGTCTTTAAACAGGTTATATTTTGTTTATCTGGCCTTTCTCATTGTTCTTGGCAGAGTGTGATTCTGTTGCAAACTACCTGGAAACAGAAGTTCCGTGTCTTTTCATCTTAAAAATCTAAATAGTTCAAAATTAATTGATCACTGTTTTGTTGAGGGCAGAAAAGGTAATGACTGTACAGGATGGTTGGGAAATGTTTCCATGTTCTTAGATCTAGTTATGTGAGTTGTACTGACTTTTTCCTGGATTAGACTAGTTTTGTGTTATTCATGTGATGTCACTGATTTTTATATTCTGATCCTTTGAAAGAACTCTTCTTATTGAGGTAACTGTAGTCTTTTATTTAAATCTTGGATTCCTCACCCATCTCCTTAATAGCTCAGTACTTCCTAACCAGTGACCTACCTCCTGGAAGGTTCTAGAAGAAAGAAAAGCACTGTTTGATTTCTCTGGAAGTAAATGACTTGGCTTGAGTTTTAAGCATCTTGACTATTCCACAGACATTGACACCCTGTTTGAAATCTTACTTTCCATTTGGTTTGAAGCCATCTTCAAGTGATCCTTTCATGTTGTGAAGGTGTCTCTTTTTGTTGTTATTTGTTAATTCTTAGTTGAATACTGAAACGTTTTTTACTTCTTGGTCCTCTGGCCTGATCCACCCTGGATCAGCAATGAATTTAAACCACTGTTGACTGTACATTATTTTAATGGTAGACATTTCTAAGCTACACAGGTTCCTTGATGGTATTATTCTTTGGATCTGTAGAAGAATGCTAGAAGACCAGCAAAATAAGTAGACGTTTATTTGGTGGTATATCTTTTGTCTTAACATAGTTGTAGATAGAAGATTGGATTTCTCATGAGGCCACGTAGTTCCTTCTGGTCAAGCCTCTGTACTAGTTTTGTAAGGCTGCCTGTAACAAAGTACCACAAGCTGGGTGGCCTAAAACACATCAGTTTATTCTGTCACAGTTCTAGAGGTCAGAAGTCTGAAATCGAGGTGTCCTCAGGGTTGGCTCCTGCTGGAGGCTCTGAGGGAGAATCTGTTCCGTGCCCCTCTCCTACCTTATAGTGGCTGCTAGCAACACTTTGTGTTCCTTGACTTGTGGCCACATCCCTCCAGTCTCTTCCTCCATCTCTACATGGCCCTCCTCTGTGTGTCTCTGTCGCAAGTTTCCCTCTGCATTTCTCTTAAAAGGATATCTGTCATTGGATTTAGGCCCAACCTGGATCTCAGATGACCTCCTCTCTAAATCCTTAATTATATCTGCAGAGACCCTATTTCCAAGTAAAGTCACACTCACATGTTCTGGGTGCACATGTATTTTGGGGGCCACAATTCAACCCACAATAGCCTCCATTCCTGAACGTCTGTGTTTTCACTGCCTTCTCTGATTCAAATAAGTGTGATTCTTCTCTTCAGGGCAAAACAGAGGCTATAGAAGCTAAGACAAATTTCAATTTGACCCTATCCTTGAGAGTTGGAATGCTGACCCAAATGCAGAGTTAGAGGAATCACTTTTTATAGGAGGAGATCCATTTTTTGGTCTAATCTGAAGAAGAATAGAGTAGAATCAGTAGGGATAGTCCGGAAAGATTTTCAGAAACTAGGCACAGCTTATGGTACCAGCAGGTAAATAAACGTTAGATGTGTAAACAGGATATTGTCTTGTGGCTGTGAAAATCAGCAGTGCTGTTTTCCAAATTAATGTTTGGTTTTGTTTTTTGAGTGAAATCTCATTTTAAAGGTCTGCCCTAGATTGGAAGGTAAACAGATATGGAAAATGAAGAGTAGTAGTTCTCAAGATTTTAGGCGAAAGGCAGTGAATTTTATTTTGCCTTAAAATTTGGGGGAAAGAATGTTAGGACTCATTATTGGTATGTTAACCACCAACAGAAAGGCCATGAAGGAGGAAATTAAATGTCTGTTTATAACGTGTCAGCCTTTCAGTTTAAACTGTAGTGGACGTGAAATTTAGCCATTTCTTGCAGTCATGAGACCATTCTTTCCTTTCCTGCAGATCGAGGAGACTGGCAGAGGGAAAGAAAGTTCAATTATGGTGGTGGCAACAACAATCCTCCGTGGGGTAGTGACAGGCACCATCAGTATGAGCAACACTGGTACAAGGACCACCATTATGGGGACCGGCGCCACATGGACGCCCACCGTTCTGGGAGCTACCGACCCAACAACCTTTCCAGAAAGAGACCTTATGACCAGTACAGCAGTGACCGAGACCACCGGGGACACAGAGATTATTATGACAGGTATGCAGAAGGCCCTGAGACAGCAGGAGCTGACTTCTGCCAGGAGATTTGTTGTTTGCAAAGGAGAGACAAGCAACCTAATACATTAATGTATTAATCTATCAAGTGCTCATTAAACATCTTCATGTGCCAGGCATGGTCCCAGGTCTGATCTAACATTTCTGCCGTCAAGGCATCTTCATGATGTTGGGGAGGAGTCACGAGGTAGACAGCTGATTGTGTGTGCGCTGCTTGGATGGTTGAAAGTAGGGATTTTTGAGTTTTTCCTGAGGGCTGGGCAAGAGGGAAGGCTGTTGCTTCTTGTTTTGGGCTCTAAAGAGCTAAGCAGAGGGAAACGGAATAGGCATCGGAGGCCCAGACCAAGGCTAGGGACCCAGGAAGGGATGCCTAAAAGATTAACAGATTGCATAGTGGGGGTCTTGAATGCCAAGTTATAGGTTTTAAGTTTTATTCTCTGGGTCATAGGGAGCCATTTGCAGTTTCATTATCTCAATTGTGCAGGAAAAGTTTTTGCCTTCCTCTGAGGAAATCTAGGGAAGTGGTAGCCATAAAATAGTAAAGTAAAGCAACCAGAATTGTTAAGCTGTGTGCTAGGCTCTCAGCCACACTAGGTTCAGGGATCCACGTGGATACCAGCCCACAATTTATGGGTCATAGACTTTTGAAGTTATACCCTCTCTATAGCTGTATAATATGATACGAAGGGCCAAGCTTTGAAGTTGTGAGAGTTAGCAAGTAGAAGAGGGGCTGAAGAGGTTTTACTTGTTCTTTCTAATTTGAAGACTTGGCTGTATTTTAACCTCATAGCAACTTTGGTTTTCCTTAACCATTTGACTAATGGTATGCTTTGTTTGGACTGCACTTTGAATTTAAAATAGGAAAATTTTGTATAAATATCTCAGTATTCTGCCTTCTTTTTGGAAGATCTGGTAACACCAGGCTGCACTGGCCCAGCATCTGTAGCCAAGTAGCAGCTGCCTCCTTTAGAACGGGTCTGTACCCCTCACCCCCGCCCTCCCATATTGTCCAGTCAGGTTCCAGTGGACCCTGCATTCCTTTGTGGAGGTCTGTATTCCCTTTAGTATCATTTTTCTTCTGCCTGAAGGACTTTTGTTTTAGTGTGGGTCTGTTGGTGATAAGTTCTTTCCCTGTTTGTGTGTCTGAGAAAGTATTTTGCCTTCATTTATGAAAGATACTTTTGCTGGGTATAAATTTCTAGATTGACACTTTCTTTCAGTACTTTAAAGATGTTCCTCTTCTCTGTACTTGCATTGTCTCTGAAAGGTCCATCATCTCTATCTTTGTTCCTCTTTACAGGATGTGTCTTTTTTTCTTCATCTCTAGTTTTTAGCAATTTGATTATAAACAATGATCATTACTATCAAATTTGGAATTTTTTTTACGTTTATTTCTTCAAATATTTTTCTGTCCCCCAACTCTTGTCTCCTTTGAAGATTCTAATTATATCAGGCTGCTTGAATTTGATTGATAGCTCACTGGTACTCTGGTTTTGTGTGTTTGTTTTTTTGCTGAGGAAGATTAGCCCTGAGCTAACATCTGTGCCTGTCTTTCTCCGCTTTATATACAGCATGGCAGATGAGCAGAGTAGGTCCATGCCAGGGATCCAAACCTGAGAACTCAGGCCACCAAAGCAGAGTTGTACGGAACTTGAACCACTTGGCCATGGGGTCAGCCCCTGTTTTGTTTTTTTTAAATTATGTTTTCTCTCTGTTGCATTTAGATAGTTTCTGTTGCTGTGTCTTCAAGTTCACTAATATTTTCCTTTTTAATGTCTACTCTCCCTTGAGGCTGAGGCCCATCCAGTATATTTTGCATTTCATACATTGTAGTTCTATCTCTAGAGAGTTGTATTTTGGCCTTTTTTCCCCCCTTAATTTAAATTCCCATGTCTCTATTTAACCTTTTGAAATCTGGAATACAGTTGAAAAATTGTTTTTATATCCTTGTCTACTCATTCTGTCATTTGGGTCAATTTCAGTTGATGTATTTATCTCCCTATTGTGGTCTTATTTTCCTGGTTCTTTGCATGCCTGGTAATTTCGGATTAGATACCTTGTTGTGCTGGATATTTTTGCATTCCTATAAATATTCTTGGGCTTTGTTGTAAGACACAGTCAGGTTACTTAGAAACAGTTTGATTCTTTCAGGTCTTGCTGTTGAGATTCGTTAGGCAGAACTGTCCGTTCCCCACCACCAAGGCGAGGATCCTCACTGTGCTCTGCCAGTGCCCCTGGGTCTTGAGGCTTTTTGGGATGGCTGGTGAGAATGGGCACTGTTCTGGCTCTGTGTGAGCACAGGGCACTTGGACCTCTACTCTCCTGGGTGATTCTTCCCCTGGCCTTCTGTAGTTTGTGCACATGTACACCCTGAATACTCAAGGGGGAACCCTCTGCATCCTAGTGGTGTGAAGTGGTATCTGATTGTAGTTTTGATTTGCATTGACATCTTTTCCTGTGCTTAGTGGCCCTTTGTATATCTTCTTTGGAGAACTGTTTATTCAAGTCCTTTGCCCGTTTTTGAATTGGATTGTTTGTCTTTTTGTTGCTGACTGGTACCAGTTCTCTTTCAATAGGATAATAAGCAGTTTACCATGGTCCTAAGAAAAAGATTTTAATATTCTTTGCATTGAGTCCATTTTTTAAATAATTTAATTAACCTTTCACGTATTGTTGAATATTTAGGTTGATTGTGAGTTACTGATAACTTACAGAATAATTTCTGTAGCTCTTCTCCTATGCTAGGTCAAGGAATATGAAAATGTTTCTAGATCTTGCCAGTTTTCCTAAAGGGAGTATGAGTTTGCGAAGCCATCAGTGATTCACACGTGTACTTGTTTCATTGCAGACTCGATGAGTCTCATGGTTATTTCATAGGATGTGTTTTGCCAATAGTATAAAAAAGCCCTTTGTTAGTACTTTCATTTTGTTTTTTTGATTCCTAGTAATGTAAGTATTTGCCCCTGAGTCCTTTGGAAGTGTCTTTCAATCTGAGTACATGAGGAGGAGCCCATGGGTGATAGAAAGGGGATGGGAATCTGGCTTTGGTCTTTTAGCTAATCCTTGCATCTCTGTTTCAGGCACCATCATGACTCCAAGCGGAGGAGATCCGATGAATTTAGGCCTCAAAATTACCACCAGCAGGATTTCCGACGAATGTCTGATCACCGCCCCCCCATGGGCTACCACGGCCAGGGACCCTCAGACCATTACCGCTCTTTCCACACAGACAAACTGGGGGAATATAAACAGCCCCTGCCCCCATTGCACCCTGCAGTCTCAGATCCTCGCTCGCCCCCTTCTCAGAAATCTCCTCACGATTCCAAGTCACCCCTGGATCATAGGTCTCCTTTGGAGAGATCACTAGAACAGAAAAACAACCCAGATTATAACTGGAATGTTCGGAAAACATAAAGGACAGCTCAGAAAGAAGAGGAGAGCAAAGAGTCATTAAGCACCTGGATATTTTTGGTCTGATCCAACAGGAGCCAGTTACCTAGACCAGTGAGTGGAGTTTCTGGACATGCTGCTGCTGGCAGCTCGCCGGCTGAAGGAGCACTTCAGGGAGGGGGAGGCCTTTTGGTCGGTCCAGCTTTGATTTGGGTCACCACTCCTGCACTTTGGCACCCCATCCCATTCCAGCCTGGATCTGGCCTCCCGCTTTGATGGGTGCTAGGAGGAAGAGGTGATTTTTTTTTTTATGTACCAGCTTCATGGGCCGTTTCCCTGATGAAGGAAGAAGGCATCTTAGAGTCATGAATGTCGTATTGCCAGGGTCACTGCACCCTGGACCTCGGTGCAGTGGTCTGGGAAGGCGTGTGTGTGAAGGCTGCTGGGACCTGCTGGACAGCGTGTGATTTGGTTCACTGTGATGTGACGGATGCTGCTGATGGAGGGCGGGGCGTGGGGATGAGGGGGTGGGGTCTTGCATCATAGGACTTGAAGGGGAGCAGGTACACCCCTCGAATGTGTTCTTGGGAGAAATGACACTCGGGCCTCATTATGTGACATCCCTGGCGCGGGGAGGGGGGATAGAGAGAGGGACACAATGGCCCCTTCCCTACCAACACTAATTTTCCCCACACTTTCTGCACATTTCAAAGGTTTGGTCTCCTGACTGGGCCTCCTTTGCCTCCTGTGCCGGGGACGTAGGGTCTGTGCAGCTGCCTTCTGAGTACTGTGAGTTAGGTGCCGCTGAGGTTGGCATGGGTCTTACTTGGTTGGGAGAGGGCTGAATGTGGGGGCAGGGTGGGGATAGGGAGGGGGTAGGGTGGCCCGGGAGCTGGAATCCCTGGTGGATTCCTGATTCCTGTGAGGAGAAGTAAAACTACAGGGCCTAGCGAGGAGGGGGAGTGGAGGCAGGCCTGCTGACCAGCTTGTTGCGGGCATGTGCCAGGAGTGGGTGCTGGTGCCAGTGGTGAAAGGTGTCCCAGTGTGGGGTTTGGTGGCGCCAGCATTGGGGGAGCGCTCAGTGTTGTTTAGGGCAGCATCTGCAGCTGCATCGTAGTTCCTCTTGCATGGCTTAAAGAAGTCGATGACAGCATCACAGGTCTCCTGACCCTCATGTGGTGGGTTCCTGTGGTGAACAGCTTTCCGCGGCTAGTTGAAGACCATTAGAATTGAACTCAGTTTCTTTTAGAATGAGATCAAGTAAACTATAGACCTAAGTTAAATTTTTCCCACAATAGGAAGCATCCAACGACAGGGTGACTGCGCTGCAGACAGTAGAGTCATACTAGAGTTGCATTGCATTGGGACTGGGGGCAAGTTGGTTGCATCAGTTAAAGCAGGCTCCTTTCCTCCTTCTGATTCTGGGGCCTTCCATTTTATCCATTTTGAACACAGCCTGCCAGTATTGTTAGCATATCCGAAGGCCTCTCTAGCTGGAGACAGAATAACCGACTTGAACATACAGTGTGCCTCTAAGTGTCCAGGCTCAGAGCTGGTGAAAACCCTTCTGTTGGGCATACAGAGTGTTAAACTCCCTGAACTAACCTGTGAGGACCTCGTAAAACCATTATCACTTACTTGCTGGTATCCTGGGCACCACCATTAATGCCTTTCCCAAAAAACTCCCCTCTAGTGAGGCGGCTGTGGTGTCAGGGCCGTTGCTGCTTGCTGCACAGCATCCTGGGGCTGGCCAGTGCTGGGTTCCAGACGAGAGTCTGGGTCCTCACAGCTCGTGTTGGCAGCTCAGTGGGGCCGCTGCCTTCTTATTTATCTCCTCATGGTACATGGGGCTGTTCACCTGGGGCTTCTGGCACGCATGCAGTGGGGCAAAGCCCACAGGACTGCATGGGAGCCTCCTGGCCACAGTCCTACCCCGAGGACGTGCTATGACTGCTGAGGGGCAGAAGGTGGGAAATTACGTCTCTGCTTTGGCCACCACCAGTTTAGCTTCTGGCTGACAGTACTGACACTACTCCAGGCCAAAGAGGAGGGCTAGGCTGGCTGGCCAGGTGCTTGAGCGATGGGGTGAGGGCAGGCAGGAATGAGCCCAGCACGGCTTCCCCTGTGGAAGTCAGTACGCGTGCTCTGGGGGCGCGGTGTTTCCTTTCAGTCAGAGCAGTAACTGGAGGCCCTGCTTTTGGAAACTCATCAAGGTTTTTTCTCTGAACTCATTGATAGGAGATGTGAGTTATTCCCAAAGATGTCTCATTATGAGGAAAAAGGAACTTCCTTTTGTTCACATTCAGGACTTTTAGTGCCATATAATGTAGCAAAAGGCGATATCAGCCAGATCAGTGTTAAATTGATTATGAAAGTACAGTATCCCCGTAACAGCATCTCTTTTAGGTATTGAAGTATGTTTGAAGAGTGGGTTGGGAGAAAGGCATTTCCTCATTAATCTAAATCAGTATGAATACTGTATGCTTCTATCAAAACCAGAAATTTGCACAGGTAGAAATTCTCTCACTTGGGGATGGGAGAAGCTGCCCCAAGAATCTGTGAGGAAGGTATTCCATGGAGCGTAGCTTTGAGAGGCGTAGATATTGGGTAGAAATAGCAGGGGTTGAGGAAGTGGGAGGTGGGGTAGCATCACCTGCAAGCTGGAGATAAGCGAGGATTAACATGGGGTACCACAGCCGGGAGGAGGACTCGGTGACCCCCAGGCCGGTCTCCGCTGGCTTTCAGAGCCAGCTAGAGAGGAACAGTCCGGCTCTCTGCCAAGCCCCTTCTCCCGGCCCCTGGGCTCCCTCTTCTTTTAGTCATTCCTTACGCGCCCTTCGACGGGAAAGCAGAACGCTTCTCACATCGCGCTGCAGACCTTCTAGCCTGATGTCTGAAAGCTGCATCAGGACGCGTGGCACACATGCAGTTCAGTCGTTTATTCACGCCGTGACACCGAAGCCGTGCAGACCAAACCCGCCGGCAGCAGGGGTGCTGGCCGGGCTGGCACCGGGGGTCTGCTGGCTGATCTGAGAGCTGCCGTGTCGGGCAAGGAGAGCCAGGCAGAGGGTCCAGGCTGCTTTAGTCCATCTGCGTCCCACTCGTTTGGGGACAGGTGGTTTTTCTTTATTGTAAAATTGTGGACTTTTAAAACCTGTTGACTAAACAGTAATTAATTTATATTTGTGAAAAATGCCACTGTCCTAGTGATTTCTGATGTAAATAATGTTGTTTATATAGTATGTATTAAATTTTCCTACATTGTAAAACTGCCGTACTTTTGACTCTTGTATATGGAAAGTGTCGCTAAGGATCTTCCGAATCGGGTGGACACGTTGCCTTGCATCGGTGTGAACTGTGGCGGCTGGTCTCCCCCTCCCTTGGTTGCTGGGTCATCAGGATTTTTGACGGCTTGTGAAAGGGAGCCCTTTAAGATTGCATGTTTTCCCTGCGCAGCACGGGTTGTGGTGTTGGGCCCGGGACTCTGCGCTGCAGGCGTCTAAGATTCTTCCTGAGTAGCTGAGGTGATGGGGCCAGCCCAGCAGCGCCAGCCCGGAGCCCAGGTCCCTGCACCTGATGAGATGACGTGGAGGAGCTGCAGCGTGGAAGAGCAGGGCCGCCCTCATTCCCCGTGTCGGTCGTGCCAGGGAGGGTCCTGGGAGACCTGGAAGGTGCACCTGAATACCAGCGCCGGTCCAGACGGGCCCCGCAGCCCCCTCTCCCAGAGGAAGTGAAAACACCACGTCTGCAGGCCTGCTGCCTTGAGGGTAATTTAACAGTCGGGTCACATATTCTGGAAGGGGGAGGAGGGTTTTATAATGGAAACACTGACAAATGTTAACTCGAGCAATTTGGCACAGCGCAGACCCAGCTCCTGCGAGGCCCAGACAGAGGAAGGGTGGCACAGCCCGCGGGCGGAGAGCCGTCTGAATAGCAGTTGGAGAAGTTTGCCAGACCCCAGGGGTTTTACTAATACTTAAGTGGCTTTGAAACCAAACTCCCATCTTTGCGAAGCTCTTAACTCTCTATGCCGAATAAACCTATGTGTCGCTCAGAGTTGAGGGGTTAACTCCCGTGACTGTCAGCCTAGGAGCTGGCTGCAGGCGTTCCCGCTCGGCCAGCCTGTGGCGGAAGGGGCGCCCAGGGGTTTCAGGGCAAGTCGTTCTTGAGTAAAAGACTCAAGGAAGAGCTGAGGGTTCTTGCTGCGATAAACTCAACTCACGATCATGTTGCGACCCACAGCTCGGCTGGAAGAGCTTTGGGAAACTTGAAGAACAAGTGCTGCAGTAATCAGCTTATTACGATTTACAATAGCAACGAGGCTTCTCAACTGCCTGCTGCCAAGACGCCTGCCTTTTACTGGAAGAAGCCGACGCTGGCCCCTCCCTCCTCCCTGGCTGGGCCTGCCTGTCTGGCATCGAGGCAAGTCCTCCTCAATTAGCGCCAGCAGAAAGGTCACTTAGTGAAACACAAGGCCCTGCGGTTTGCCAGACCAGTCGGCCCCGGCTTCCAGCCTGTGGCTCTTAAAGGAGCAGGACTGGGTTGGCCCTAGAGGCCTTGTCGTAACTAAAGCCCCGTACAGGTCCTTTCCATCACCTTTTGAGGTTGGAAACCCACTGGGTCCGTGTCACTTCCCAACCTTCCTCTAGTATTTGTTGTGAATTGAAGAAGAGACACAGCTTGTCTGAATAAAAGCTCCTGGGGCCGGCCCAGTGGTTAGGTTCGCACGTTCTGCTTTGGCAGCCCAGGGTTTGCCAGTTCGGATCCCAGGTGCAGACATGGCACCGCTTGGCAAGCCATGCTGTGTTAGGTGTCCCACATATAAAGTAGAGGAAGATGGGCACGGATGTTGGCTCAGGGCCAGTCTCCTCAGCAAAAAAGAGGAGGATTGGCGGCAGATGTTAGCTCAGGGCTGATCTTCCTCACAAAAAAATAGATAAAAGCTCCTTATCCTCTAGAAACCTGGGCCCTAGTGGGCCCCGCCCCATTGCTGCTGCGGGGGCCGTGCCCTAGGTTGACATCTGGGGATTTCCTGGTCAGTGCTCTGGCCACGTGACCTGCATTGTGTGGGAACATGAACAAGTCTGTGACCTATAGGCTTCTCATCTCAAAGATGAGCAGAGTGATAACCCACTTTTTGGGGCCAGAGCTGCCCCGTGGAGGGTTCCCCTGTCCTTTTGTTCTTAACGTCTTTCGTGCCCTGAGGGGATTGTCATTCCTAAAGTGCAGTCTGCAGTCCTGCTGACCACCTACACCGAGGTGGCCTTGGGGGGCCTGGATGGTCTAAAGGGGCCAGGCAGCAAAGTCATGCGTTGCCTCCATTTGGTTCCTCCTTGTGTGCAGTGGGGCAGCCAGCCTTGTCATCTGCAAATGAAGGAGGCAGCTTCTAGGGTTAACGTGGGTCTTACGTGAGAGCTCACACAGTGGAAAAGGAATAGGTTTGTAAGCGCTAAGGGCTACCTGGGGAGGAGACAGTGTTCGGCAGTCCTTGGCTGGGAGGGGCGGGTCCTGGAGGGAGAGGTTGGGGTACCTAGGACAGAACTTGCCCGGCTTGGGGGGCAGGCCCGGCTTAGCATTACGCCCCAGCAGCCCTCACCCCAGAGCCAGCAAGGCAATCAGAGCTGCCCTCCTCGAGCCCAGCTCACCAGGGGAACCCCGGGAGGGGCTCTGCAAAGCCTGTGCTGGGGAGCATAAAGGCCCAGGAGGGACTGGAACCATCTAAACACAGAGACAGTTTCCTTCAGGGAGCTCACAGTCTCCTGGGGGAGACGCAGCTGGGACTGCACAGTTGTGAGAGAGCAAGTTTTCCCTTGACCAAGATCTGGCCATTCCTGTGGGCCGGGCCTGCTCCAGGAGCTGGGGAAACACCCACGGAGAAGCAGAAGGACGAGGCCCCTGCCTCTTTGAACTGACGTTCTAGCTAGGGGGCCTGGGGAGGCAGACGCTAGATGAGCAAACAGAGGACAAAAGGTCACATAAGCACCAAGGAGACCAGCCTGGAGGCGGGTAGAGGGACTGGGTGCTCGTAGCGGAGCCCTGGGGTAGGGTCAGGGCAGGCGCGAGGACCAGCAGGAGGGCGTGGCTCTGGGAGGTGAGCAGACCGGGCTTGAACCCACTGGCATTCTTTGCTTTTCAGGGCCTCGACCACAAAACATGGATGATGGGAGCCCCTTGCCAGGCTGTGGCGAGTGAGGGAGGTCACAGACGTCACGTATGTGGTGGGCTCTGCCTCTGTCAATACCCTCAGAGGGCGATGTTGAGACATCCTGAGGCGCTGAAGAGCTGCCTGTCGGAGTCTTGCCATCCCAGGTGGGGCCTCATGGTGTTTGGAGGATCAGCAGCCTCTGTTCTCTGAGGCCCTGAGTGAACATGGCTCTAGAACCATCCTGCAGAGGGCAGCAGATTTCCACAAATAGCCTGCCTCGCGGCCAGCACCTCATCCCAACCCCAGGGAAGGCTCAGCCGTCACTCTCCCATCCCTGCGGCCTTCTGCTCTTGGCTGCAGAGTCCGTGAGGGAGCCCCCAACACACCCCAGGAGACATGGAGCTGCCTTTGCCCTGCAGGAAGTGTGACACGGAGACGTGAGGAGGAGAGGGGCACAGGCAGCAGGGAGAGGGGGCAGTGCTGAGCAGCCACGGCCCGGCCTCCTCAGGGGCCTCAGCCCCCCAGGGCGCGAGGGCAGCCCCCGCTACACTGTCACCTCCAGCTGTTACTCAGGGACGCACAGGCTCCTGCCCCCTCTCTCCTCCAGCATCCTGAGCCACAAGGCCCAGGCCTCACTCTGCTGCTCCCCATGACCCTCCCCTGAATGCCAAGCTCCCCGGTTTGAGTCCAAGGTCCCTCTGGGACTTGCGCCTACTGGCAATCCTGAACTCTTCCTCCGTGAGCCCCGCGCCTGCAGCCAGCCCAAACTGCTCAGAGCTTGCCTCGAGGCTGCTGTTCCTCCGTCCTCCTGCTCCATCGCTTCCAGCTGCCTGCTGAAGCTTGTTCATCTTCAAGATTCAGTTCAAGCTTGGTTTCCTCTGAGCAGCCTTCTTTGACCCTGCTGTTCCCATTCCCATTCCTGTCCCTTCCCTGTGCCCACAGATGCCATCAGAGTCCCTGGCACACTCTAGTGCCCCCACGCTGTCACAGCTGTCTCCCCCAGCGGATAGGGGCTCATTTTGATGAACATTTTAAAAATCAATTTAAGCAAATCCTGGGTCATCCGACGCGCAGGAGGAACCCAGGACTTTGGGGTTGCATTGGGGCCGAGGGGTCAGTGCTCCGTACCAGGGTGGACGAGGGCATACTCCAATGGGTTTCACAGGCGCTGAAGAGTGAAAAGCAGAGGCGGACAGAGGGAGTCACTGCTGAGCGCTGACAACCACTGGCTGAGCTGGACAGAGCCTGAGCTGGGACAGCCCACCTTTGTCACCTGGACGGGGCCCATTCCATGTCTGCAAAGCAACGTCACCCTTCACTTTAAATGGATGCCATCTGTTTGAATTCTATTGGTTCTGTAGTTTTATTTGAGCTTAATTAGTAAATTGTCTTGATTTTATTGTCAGAAGGAGCTATAATAACAAAGAGGTTATACCTACCCTCAGGAATTAGAAAATTCGCTCTAGCCCTGCAGGGCCTGGAGAAATACTGGTCCCTAGAAGGGTCTGTGTGTCATGCATATTCCCAGGTTGTAGATGAGGACGCTCAGATGCAGCGTGTGACTGGCTCAAGGTCAGAGAACTGGCAGGTGAGCAGCGTGAGGACCAGCGCTGTGCCGGTTCCCCCGGCCATTCCGCCCGCCCTTCCCTGCTCTGCTTATACCACATGTCACTTGTGCATCGCCTGCCTCTCACCCCAGAAGTCAGTCCCTGAAGGGGGGGCACGTTCACGTACTGTGATCACTGCTATATCCACAACACCAAGCACAGCGCTGGGCATGGAATAAACAAACGTGTCCTCCAGATCTAGACCATGACTGGACACATAGGGGATGCTCTTACAGACGATTGTGCAAGGAAGGGAGGGAGGGAGAGAAAAGGAAGAGAGGAATGACTCTCATTGCTGTGTCAGATCAACACAAGGGACACCCAGGGGAGAAGGCCATAGGCACTTGCCTTAGGGGATTCAAAGGGAAGGATGTGTCAACTAAACAAGGCAGATGCTGCAGTTGTCCTGCAGTGCCCAGGGGAGAGGGGCCTGGCCCTGCACACCTTGGTATTTGGTTCCTGGTGGTCCAGGCCCCCAGCCTTGACCTGAGGGCCACCCAGAGGCCCCGCTCGCAAGCCCCTCTGAGGGAGCCTGGGCTTTGGGTCCACTGAACTTCAGGAAGGACGTGGCTGGAAGGGGGCTCTGCCATGATAAATCAGTACTTGATCAAATGCTTGGCAGGGTGCCCTGCACACGGCAGATGTCCAAAAAATGTAGCTGTCATTGGCTGTGGTGACTCCAGTCTCCATGGCCGTGGGAGTGAGGTCCATGCCAGCTGGATCACGTTTGGGATTGCTAAGAAGGATTGTCCTCGATCTGGGAAAGTTGATGGTGGCCCCTGGACCAGTGACCCAACCGAGAACCCTCTGGTGGCCCTGGGCCATCTCTTCCTGCAACCCTGAGCCTCTTGGGTTGACTCCACCCCTCCTTTGGGTTCTCCGAGCCCATTCTCGGCCCTCGCAGGAGGAGCAGGTCAGTGGCGTGGTATCATCTGGAAACTAGGGCAATGGATTCCACCTTCTAGGGTTATTGTGAAAATTGTCAGAGCAATTGCAAGACTCAGGGCAGACTCAGATGTAGTCATTTACTGTGAGGGAGGTGCTGTCATTGTCCCCTCATGGCTGAGACAACTGAGTCCAAGAGTGATCACAACTCACCCCCGTCACACTGTCTGCAGGTGACAGAGCTGGGGTCCTGGGCCAGGTCTGGTCCCGGAGCCTGGCTTTTCCCTCTGCGCAGGAGTCCCCCTGCCCACGCCACTGCCCACCCCTGGCCATGCAGGCCCATCAAACCCAAGGTCACTCCCCCCAGGTGAGGGCTTGGCTTTGGGCAGTGGGGGCTGTCCAGGGGATCTGGTGCCGGCATGCATACAGGCTTTCTAGCGTGCCTCAAAGTCAAATTTCTATTTCAGTGCTCCAAACCCCCTCCTCCTGGGGTCTTCCCAGGCTCAGTAAGTGGCACCACGGTTTACGCAGATGTTCAACCTCACCTCTAGAGGCAACATCTTGGTCTCTTCTCAAATTCTCTTACTCCCCAAACACTGTCGGCTCCACCTTCATACTGAACCCCGAAGCTGATCATTCACATCACCTTTGGCACTGCCACCGCCATCCCACTTCCAACTGGCTTTATGCCATAGCCCCGACTGCCTCTTTCTCCCTGGATGGTCCCCACTCTGCTCTATTCAGCAGCTGGAATGATTCCTTTAAAACGCAAGGCAGGCACATCACTCCCAGGCTCAAAGCCTGCTAATGGCTTCCTACGGCAACCGGCGCAAAACAGCGAGCTCTCCCCGTGGGCGAGGCCTGCCGTCTCCGGCAGCTCTCTGGCCTTTCCTTGGACCCTACTCCAACCACTCGCTGCCGACCTGTCACATCGCTTCCTGCTGCCCCTTAAAGTCTCTGGGCTGCTGCCGTGCCCTCACTGTTCTCTCTGCCTAGAATACTCTCCCAGATGTTTGAGTGGCTCATTCCCAAAACTCACGCAGGTGAGCTGGTCAGAGGTCCCCCTGGCTCCCCCCAGAGATAAAAGCTCCTCCCCACCCTCCCCCAATCCAGGGTGCGGCTCACTCAGAGCCTCTGACCGCTTGACCCTTTCCTCCAGGTTGCTTTCTGTCACCATGGGACATTCAATGACATAACTGCTCGTTTACTGACGCGTTTCCCCAACAAGAATGCAAGATGGTCTCTGTGGATCTCTGCTGTATTCCTGCAGCACGAGTGACCACGAAAGAGTTACCGAACGAGCAAATGATTGCACTCACAATTGCAAACGCAGCGGATCGCCACTTTCAGTGGCCTCCCTGCGCCGTGCCAGGCCCGTGTGCGCGACCGTTTACGAGAGTTAGCTCACTGTATTTCTAAAACGACCACGGGAGGTAGGTCCTCATAATTCCCTTTTACAAATAAGGAATCTAAGGCTCAGAAAATCCAAGGGAGACCACACAGCTAGCGACGGGCAGAGCCAGTCGAGACGCCAAGTCGGCCCGCCGCCCGAGACCCGGTGCCACCCCCTGCTCCACGCTGCTCGCTGGCATTGCCCCGAGATGCCCCGCTCCTGCCTGGCTCAGACGCGTCTCTGCCCAAGCGTTCTGGTAATTATTTCCATCCCAGAATTTGCCCCCTTCATTATCAATGACCCTCATTATGCATTTGTGTTTAATAGGCCTTTCTCGCTTGTCTTCAATCCTCACAAATTCTGGGTCGCCAACAACACCTCCAAGAGTCCTGCCACGCAGCAGTGCATGGGGACGGGGCGAGAGGCAGGGCCACACCTCCGTCGCTAATGCATTTTCCTCCAGGCTGACCGGCCTCAAGGACGCTGGCACGAGGCAGCCTCTGCTCCAAACCCAGCCTGGGACAAGACAAGCCGCTCCTGGGAAGCGTTCAGCAAAAGGCTGTGTTCCACATTCATGATGAAATGCAAATTTCCATGTTCAGGAGGGCCACTAGTCGCTTGCAAAAGAATTCCAGCTGGTTAAATTTAGGGGATTGAACAAATTCCAAACCAAGAATATTTTTCTGGCAAGTGCCAGAGCAATTTCATCGGATGGTGAGCGAGAGATTTTTTTTCCTCCTGTGTGCCCTCGCCTCTCAATCATCTCTTCTTCTGCGCTGGCTGAGGCCCGAGGGCTCTGCTCTCTCCTGTGCCCCCACTGTGAGTTCCTTATTTCATCCCAGTTACTGCTGATGGTGGGAGCCCTGTTGTACGGGACAGTTGGGGCAACTGGGTAAGATGTGTGGGTTTGTTGCACCGTCTTTGTCCCTTCTAGTCTGGTTCCCCCTTCCCAAAGCCCAGACTCCCAGGTTCTCTCTGGGAGCCTGTGTAAGGCTCTAGAAAATTCTTTTGGGCCTTCCTCTTTCAGCTTGGGACTGGTGTAACTGCTCAGTCTTTAGGTTCCTCCCCTTGTTCCCCTTTGGTTCGCTTCCCTCCCAAGCTTCCAGTGTCTGTGTGGCCCTCTCCCCTCTCCTCCTTCCCATCATCTCACGCAGCCCCCCTTGCTTTGGGATAATAACACCACCAACACTGGACACTCACTATGTGCCAGGCCCTGTCCCAAGTATTTTATAGGAATTAACTCACTGAATCTCCAAACCACCCTATGTGATAGGAACTCCCCATTTTACAGAGGAGGGAACAGAGGCTCAGAGAGGTTAAGTGATTTGCCCAAGGTCACACAGCTAGGAAAGTGGAGAAGCTGGGATGTGGCCTGGCTTAACTGCACTGCTATTCTGTCTCATGGTATTTAATGCTAAGAGCAGGAAGTTGGGGGCAAAACAGGCCCAGGTGTACACCTGGGCCCTGCTCTTGCGAAGGAACCCTAGGCAAGTCAGCTCATCGCTGAGTCTCCTTTTCTTCATCTGTAAAATGGGTATGAATTTATTCCTCATTGGGTAGTTTTCAAGGATGAAATGTGATGGCAGCCAGCAGCGAACCAGCCCCAAGCAAGCCTTCTGATGTGCATGGCAGCCCCCTCTAAGCTGCCATCACTCTTTCCCCAGGTGTGTGAGGAGGGGGACCCTTGGGGAGGGTAGCAGCGACAGTCCCAGGTCTGAGGCTCCTAGACTGACGGTGGCAGCTGAGACACAGTGATCCTGGATCTCAAGCCGGTCCACCCAACCTTCAGAGGGCGTTTTATGTCCTTCCCCGCAAAATGGCCATTTGTGTGCATGCTGTGCTCCAGCTTTGCCAGAGCAAGGACCCTGGACCCCTCACGCCCCAAAGGCAGCCCACCTTAAGGAGAAAAAGTAATTTTAGAGAAGCAGGGGGCTTAGGCTGTTAAATTGCTACGTCTTCCGCACACATTCACAACACTCATACATACACTCGCACACATGCCAGCTGCCTCCCCAGATACACATGCTGTAAGGGGACACCCACCAGCGAAGCCACCTCTCCACCCTCAAAGGAACCGAAGTCTGTGCAGAAAACAAACTCCAACACGCAGTCCAAAAGAAAATAACAAAACAAAAAAAACCCAAACTTTACTTGCATTTAGCCATTAATAAATAATTTACAGTATGTACACGCAGTGACACCCCACACAGGTCGCAGACACAAGGACACAGTGAGGGGTCCCCACTTCCAAGCAGAATGCGGTCAAACACAACCAAAATAAAGTGCTTCACTTTTTACTTCCAACAGAGGGACCATCTAAAAACCAGCAGGGGCCTTGCCCCACCAGCCCACCCACCGGGGTCTGGCAGAGAGAGGGGACCTCTTGGAGGGGGAGGCGGGGACACGTCCACAGCCTCCTGGGCCAGTGTATGAGAGGTCCCTGGGGAACAGCAGAGGGGCTGCCGCGGGTGCCAACGGGTGGGTGGGGACAGGGCGGGGCTGTGGGGCTTCTGGGACAATCGCCCCCTGGGGCCTCGCCGCACCTTTGGGAGCGGAGCCCAGCCTCGTGTTGGTCCCTGGGTTCTCTGGAACAGCAGCAGAGGCGGGACCGGTCCAGGGCTTCTCCGACAGATGTGTGGCCCAGGCTCCCCGCAGCAAGTGTCTTTTGGCTGTGTGGCCACGGGGCTCAAGGGAAGGGACGGGACGGAGGAGACCCTGCAAGGGATGCTCAGGGCCGAGAGGCCTTCCAGATGTGCTCCTCTTCCCAGAATGCAGACCTGGGCAGATGCGGCAGGCAGCACGGCTGGGGGGGGGGGGGGGTGGGGGGCGGAGGCAGGGCAGGGGAGGGGAGAACAGAGGATCAGGGCAGGCCAGCTGGCCCTATCCACTGGGTCTCCTGCCCACGCGCTGCGGCCCAAGCTCCCTGGCCGGGGGCTCTTGTCATCTGCTGGAGAGGCAGGAACAGAAATCGAGGGGTAGTTCTCTGTTTAGACATTTAGAAACAAGGACTTGACTTCCTACGCACAGTGGGGAATGGGCACCAGGGGGAGGGGCCAGAAAAGGACATCTGAGCCCAAGAGGGGCATAACTAAGAGCACCTGCCAACACGTATGGTCCCCAGCCGCGGGGCTCCGGCGCAGGGGCTGGTGACCGGGCCGGAGCCCGTGCCCACAGCAGCCAGGGCGCACATGGGGGTCTCCCCTCGGCTCACGGGGAGGCCACAGGCAGGAGGGCACCCGGAGGACAACCCCTTGTGGCCAAAGGGGTATATGAATTTGCTAAAGATGCCAAGCATCACCCCTGGGGAGAGGAGCTCTGCCTGGGGGGCCCGCCTCGCGGGTGCCTCGGCCCCGCCGGCTTAGTGTGTGCGAGTGTGCTCGTGTGAGAGTGTGTGCGTGCGGCGGGCGCAGGCGGCCCCCGAGTGCGCGTGCAGCAGTCGCCGGGCCTGGTTCAGTGCATTAGGGGCGGGAGGAGGCGACTCTGGCCTCTCCCAGTGTCTCCGGCGGGGCGGGGCGTCGGCCTGAGGGGCTCTGGTGTGCACATTCACACCGCAGGGCGGGCGGAGGGGCGCAGCGCCCCCTCCCACAGCTCTACTGTCACAAACATCACAGCACCAGTCACCACAACCGTCACGGGCCCTCGAGAGGGCGGGGCGCCGCCCCACGGCCCCAGCCCTTGCCAGCAGACAGCCCGAGGCAGCTCTGAGGTAGCTGTCCCACAGCCCCCGGCTCTGACCCCTGCAGAGACCCGCGGGCCATCGGGCGGCCGCCGGCCAGCTGGGGACAGGCAGCGCCTCGCTCTGCGCCCTAGGCGGCCATGGCCTCCAGGAGCCCCGGGAGCATGGGGAGGAGCAGGAGGCTGCCCAGGAGGGGACTGGGGGCCGGGGATAGCGCCGCAGCGGCCGCGCGGCCTGGCGGCTCCTGAGTCCTCTCATAGAGATGCAGTCGGTCCTTGTTAGAGTGGAGCATCTTCACGTCCTCCAAGGCGTAGTAGGCCGCCAGCGTGAAGTTCACGTCCCCCGTGGTGAGCAGGTCGAAGACGCAGGCCTGGTAGTAGAGATCCTCCACGGGCAGCTTTTCCTTGCACTTGGCCGCGGCCGTCTCGTACGGGAAGGTGTCCGGGGCCGCGGGTGCCGGGCTGGCGGCCGCCTGCCTGCGGGTGCCGGGGCCCTCGGCGTTGGCGCGGAAGGCCTGGAAGTCGATCTGCTGGTTGAGGGGGCAGCCCCGCAGGCAGAGGTAGAGGCCCTGGCTGTCCCGGTCCTCCACGGCGTTGACCACCTCCTCGGGCATGCGCACTGCGAAAGTCAGGTAGCGGCCCACCTGGCGCACCACGATGGTGGTGCCGATGTACTTGGCCTGGATCTCCACGTGCTGGCCCGACACCTTCTCCGTGATCTTCAGGCTATTGGCCCCGTGCTTGTCCCCGCCGTTCTTGGAGCCATCGGCAAAGGCGGCTGGGAGCTCGTCCATCTCGGCCTGGTACACCTTCTGGTCCACACACTCCTGGAAGTTCTTGAAGATGATGGTGAGCTGCGTGTGGGGAAGGCGGCAGAGAGAGGGGGTTAGGCAGTGCTGGCGGCTGCAGGGGGAGAAGGCCAGCCCCATCTTAGGATGCTCTGGACTGAGAGCAGGGGATGGGGGAGCCCCCAGGATGCCCCAGACCACCCCTTCCCCATTTTGATCACCGTTCAGTTCCATCTGCACTATTACTATTAAAGAAAAACTATTAATGTTTTTCTTTAAAACAACTTGCTTTTTTACTTAACAATAAACCGACTTCGCGGAACTGTAGATCACGACCCTAACTAGAAAACCAGCTCATTTACTATATATAGAACCACATATATGAACCATAAAAAGAAAAGCATAGCTCATTAAAAATGAGAGGTCCTTACCCACTGTAGCAGGCTGAATAATGGCCCCAAGATATCAGGCCCTACTCCTTGGAACCCGTGAATGTTACCTTACATGGCAAGAAGGACTCTGCAAGTGTGATTAAGTTAAGGATACTGCGATGGAGAAATTACCCTGGATTATCGGAGTGGGCCCTAAATATAATCACAAGTGTCCTCACAAGATGGAGACAGAAGGAGATCTGATCACAGAAGAGGAGAAGGCCATGGAAACAGAGGCTGGAGGGATGTGGCCACAAGCTGAAGGATGCTGGCAACCACCAGAGGTTGGAGGAGGGGAGGAACAGATTCTCGCCCAGAACCTCCAGAAGGACCGGCCCTCCTGACACCTGAATGTTACGACCTATAAGACTCATTTCAGATTTCTTGTCTCCAGAACTATAAGAGAATAAGTTTCTGTTTGTCTGACGCACTCAGTTTGTGGTATTTGTTTCAGCAGCAACAGGAAACTACTACAGTCCACAACCATCTAATGTCATCTCTCTGCCACCAGTGGACCTGCAGCAGAATTCCTGAAAAAGGACCACAAGCCACTGGCTGCACAGAACAGCAGGCGGAACAGAAGAGACTGATGCTCAAAGAAAGAACGAGCAGGTGAAATCCACACAGGCGGAGGCCACAGCCGCAGGGCTGCCCTGAGGGGTCGCCCAGCCTTGGAGATGAGCAGGAGGAAGAGAGAGAGGAGGAAGGTGCTGATCAGTGAAAGGGAGATGGGGGCTCCGGGCTGAACATGCAGCCCTAGCCGGGCGGAGCAGAGAGGCTCATTTCTGCTGGAGCCTGAAGTCGGGGGCGAGGGGCTGGGCTGAGCAGCCACATTAGTAACTGTCCTCCTGAGAGCCACAGACACAGGCACATTTGCTGCATCTGGTGTGGGGGGACACTGCGTTTATTATTTGCAGTCCCGTATGTCACTGCAGGGGAGGGTGACATTATCGTGGATTTCCAGATGAGGAATTTGGGCTCAGAGAGGTAAAGTGACTTGCCCAAGGTCACACAGCCAGCATGAGGCAGAGCTGGGCTGAGTCTGTTGGTTTCTAGCCCCTAAGCTTTGTCAGCCACAAGCCCACAGGGTGGGAGGCCTGGGAGAAGGACGAGAAACAAACAGCCCGCCGAGTGAATGGGTTTCTCCCTGTCATCCTGGGTGAGGAGTCTGGCTGCTCTCTCCTCTCCTCCAGAATCCTAACTAGGAAGATCATACGGGGTGAAGACGTGAGTGAAATTGGAAGAGAAACAGCCCCTGTTCCTGCTCCCAGGTGCCAGCTGTTCTGCCACTGGTAGCTCTGGATGCCTTTCAGGCCACTGCCCGCCCTGGACCAAGGGCAGCTAGAACCTGAACTCCCAGCCTGAAGCCAGGGAGGGAGGCAGGGCGATGGCAGCAAGGTGATGCCCAGGCCTTTGAGGACCCCCTGCACTGCCCCCCGCCACCATTCCCAGGCCTTGTCCCCTCACCCCTGACACCAAGCTCCAACCTCCTACCCCCGCAGGAGAGGAAGGGCCTGGCCAGCCGGCTCCCAGGGCCCCTGAGGGCTCCCACAGCTCCTCAGAGGGTCTGTAGGCCGAGGGGCCCCAGCAAGGGGCGGGGGCTGCTGATGACACGTATGGCCTGGCCATGGCTGAGTTCTCTGCCTGGGCGCCCTGCCGGACGTGGCAGTTGGAGGGGTGATGATGGCCTGGGACGGCTCTCGGGGTGGAGGGCAGCGCTGTGAAGCGCCAAGGCCTAACAGTGGGTGTACAACAAGTGGGTGTATGACAAGGACAGGCCCCCAATCTGCTAGAACCAAAGATGAAACCAACAGCAGCTCTGAGGGGAAGGGAGGCAGGGAGAGCCACTAAGGACCTCAGTTCAGACAGGAGGGTCAGAGGGAGGCTGGCCAAGACAGCAAGGGCAGGCTGGGTGGGGGCCACAGGCCCAGGAGTGTGTCCGGCTGCAATTCTGGGTGGCTGGGAGCATGGGGGCTGAGGGGAAGCCGGCAGGGAGCGGCCTTGGCCTGGGGTCAGGAGCAGCTGCTGAGAGGAGAGACCTGAGGACTAGAGAGGGGGCGGCCTAGGGACCGCAGAAAGTTCTAGGCTGAGCAAGCAACACTGTAGTGCGAGCCTGGCTGGAGGTGTCCCTGGCTGTGTCATCGCTGCTCTGCGGGCCCCCCTTTACGCATGGTATAAAGCTCAGGGGTCACAGGGGGCAGAGAACGAGGGGCCTGGGACCTTCAGAGAGGATGCCGTGAAGGCCCTGGCCAGGCTCCCTGGACAATCCTTCTCAGAAGGGCGAGGATGAGAGGGACTCGGTGAGCGGCGGGCCACAGGATGACTGCAGGGGACTCAAGGCACTGGGCCTTCGTGGTCCCCTCTCTCCATCAAAAATTGAAAAACTGTATTTTGTGACTGCACTGCCATAAAGACTAACACAGTCTACGTTGGATTATGCTGATGCTCCCCTCTGACTTTAAAAGAAAGGAAAGCCTTTCCATGGGCTACTGGAATTCTCGGGCCTTTGGCGCTGTCCCCGTGGGGCCTGATGGATGACTGGCCCTGGGGGCAGCAGGCACATTCTGCCATCTTCACTGGGCACAGGAGGGGCTGGTGCCTTGAAACCAAAGGGCAGAGGCTGGATTCCACTGGGTGCTACATTGGGAGGTCCTGATGTGCACAGCTCGTTGGGCACAGGACTCAGTTTCCCCATCTCCCTCCCCAAGGTCACAGCCTGCTCATGGGAGGGGGCACACTTCTGGTTTGCTGTGGGATCTCCAAGGAAGCCGCACGAAACTGCCGCACGGCACGAAACTGCCACTACCCTACCCTCTCTGACCTGAGAAAATGGTGACTTCAGTCACGCTCCTGCTGCTTCCCAAAGGCTGCCACCCTGATGTGGAGGCTGCCTGCGGGGGGCCGTGAGGTGGGCCAGCCAGGGTGGTCTGGGCAGTGGGTGGTCCTGCCACTGGGGGAGGGGACGCAGGATGAGGGACTCTGGTGTCCCTGCCTGGTGTGCAGGGCCACACAGACGCTGGGAGGGGAGCTGCTTTCCAAGTGCCATCAGTCTCCCTGGAACAGGAAAGGCTGGTTTCACTCTAACCGCCATCTCTTGTGGAGACAGTCTCCTGGAAGGCTGACAGGCAGCTCGACTCTTCTTGGCACTGATGCCAGGACTCAACCACAAGTAACAGCATGAAGGGAGCCTGTCGAAAGCCGGGCGGCTCGCTGCCAGCACGGCCACGGGTGCGGCTGCCGCTCCTGCCTTGGCTGCCCCCCTTCCCAGAGGGGCCTGGGGCCCCTCTCCACCGAGGCGGGCACAGGGCAGAGGCCTGGCTACAGCAACAACTATTTATGGAGCCCCAACGGTGTGCCAGGCCTGGGACTAGGGGCTGTGTCCACACGGGGAGCAGCACAGCCCAAGACCCCTGTCTTCACGGAGCTCATGCTCCGAGGGAGTCACAGACCAAGTGGGTGAATGGTGCAGTGTGACAGAATGGTAAGTGCTCCGGGAGCCAGCGAGGGGGGAGGCAAGGGGAAGGCAGGAGCTGGAGTGCCTCTCCTCCCTCAGCCTCAGCTTCCTCACCTGTAAAATGGGGTGCTGCCAGCCCAGCTGGAAAGAGGAACAGAGCAGGGAGCTGGGCACAAAAGGCAGTCCCATGGGGGCGAGAAGCTGGCTAAAATGTCAGCCCGGACTGGAAAACACTGGATCTTGATCATCCACAAGAACAGAGGGACGGCCCGGGCTGGGTGACACCAGTATCACGGGAACTGAGTGACAGCCCCTGGGTGAGGCATCACGGCTGAGCAGAGGAGGGGGTGTGGGTTCAAGGGGGCAGAAGAGTCTGGCAGAGGGCTCTTGTGGGGGAGGGGTGGTCATAAAAGCCCCAGACCCTCATCACCTTGGAGATAAAAGCCTCTTGGTCTCTCTTGCCTCCCTCGAGGCTCCAGGCCCCTCTCCCACGTTCTGCCCGGCTCTGCTGCAGCCCGCTCCTGTCCTTCGAGGGCAAGCTCAGTGGGAGGACTCCAGGCGGCCTTCCCCAGCACTCTGGGCAGAGCCGGGCCCCCAAAGCCTGCAACATCCTGCTGTCCGAGCACCCATCCTGAGCACCCCTTTGCAGGTCTTTGTTCTCCATTCCTAGCCTGAGAGCTGTGGGGAGGGAGGGAACGCTGACCACAGAGGCTGCGCGAGAGAGGGGTCTGGGAAAGGTTTGCTGAAGGAATGAGCGAGCAAACCTGCCTGCATAAAGGAGGCCCGAGAAAAGAGGCAGGGGCAGGCCAAGGGCACTGGCACCCAGCCACCGATGTTTCTCACCCGGTACCACAAGGCTCCAGTCTGCCCTGGGTCCTGAGACCGGCCCGGCCACAGACACTGACCCTGACCCTGTCACTCTTGGGCCCCAGGCAGAGCCTCCTGGCTGCTAAGTTCTCAAGGTGGCCCCAGGTCACAGCAGAAAGGGGCTGGGCTGGGCTGGGCTGGTCAGGCTCTGTTGCAGAGCCCCATGCCCTTCTGGAAACCCCACACCAGGATAGGAAGGGAGGTCCTCCCACGCCCGCTTGGGCAGTTCTGCTGGCCACAAGGTCCAGCAGTGGGCCTGGAACAAAGCGGGCATTTGAAAAATGTGGGCCAGCTGAATGAATGGAACACAAGAATGAATGAATGAATGAATGATGAGTCCATCTGGCTTTTGCACAGCACCGCTGGGCTCAGGGTCCCAGCGTGGGTCGGCGGAGAGCCGAGGGTGGCATCCAGGGGTCCTAAGCCCAGGCACATCGCCCCAGCCTGCAGGACCCACCCTCCACCCTGTCAACCCCCAGTCACTGGGGACAGCAGGCCAGCCTTGCTGGTCGCTAACCATAATTCCTCCCAGGTCCGTGCTCGGCTCTGTTATCACATTTGGTGCTTATACCACCCTGGGGCAGGAGTGGCAGGCCTCCCGAGGTCCACGTCCTTCTCACACCCCAGACCTCCCCATGCGCCCTGCCAGGATGGAACAGGGAGCCTGCTGCCGGATTTAGAAGCTGCAGCCTCAGGCTCCCGGTGTTCATTTATCTTGGCTCTAGGGAGGGAGGCGGGTAGGTGGAGGGGCCGCAGGGAAGGCAAGGCAGCTGGGTCCTTGATGCGGGCCCCCCTCCTTCTGTGGAGAGCTGGGAGGGGGGACAGGGCAGAGAGAGCCCTGGCCACAATTCTGCTGCCCACTAGGCTTCATGGCCTGTAAGGGCACCCTCAGGGCGCAGACCTGCTTGTTTCCTACCTTGGGCCCAGAAAGAGGCCCCCTGCAGGCATGCAAGGGCCACCAGAGCAGAGGGAAGTGGCAGGAATTTTCCTGGCTGCCAGGTCACCTCACTGTCCTCCTCTGGGGTGTGGAGGGACGGGAAGGAACAGAAACGCCCTTGTGGGACAGCCTGGCACTGCCTGACTCGCTGCCTCGCAACGTGCTCTTCCTAGGAAAACACACCCGCTGCCAACCCGGGAACTCCAGGGGCTCTGGAGGGCCGGGCCCTGAGGAACACAGAGGTGTCCCCACCTCGTGGACTCTCAAGAGTCTGGCTCTGAGGCCAGCTCTCTGGCTGAGTCTGGACATGAGGTCCCAGGAGACCCTCCTGGAAGTGGCTAGGGATGGAGAATCTGGGATGGATGGAAATGTCCCATTGCTGGGGCCACAGGCCACATCGTGGCTGCCTCTGACTCTGGCCCTGTGAGCAGGACTTGAGTTAGCCACCCAGATGCTAAGGCCTCCTTGGGTCAGAAGGCGACCAGCTCGTGGTGGCCTCTGGGGCTCCCCAGACGGAAACCGCCTCTCCTGGTAGTGAGGATATTTAGACTCCAGAGTCATGGGCCCAGGTCAACTCCTAGCTCCACACTCTGGGCTGACTGCACTTTGGGTGGGAGGCCACTTTCCCTCTTGGAGCCTCAGGTTCCCGTTGCATCAAACAGAGCTGCCCCAGCCAGGCAAGGCCCACCCAAGGGCGGAGGAAGAGGCTGCATGGGTGTCCCTGGGCTGCTCAGTGAGCCGCTTCCTCATGCTCGCTTGTTCCATCTTCCCCCATTCCCACTCACGGAGGGCCGTTTCTGCTTTGGGGCTGCAGCCCTTCCGTGTGGGTGTGGCACTAAAACAAAGGGCAGGACCACACCCCACAGCCCTGACCTGCAACCGAGCGTCCCCAATGCCTTCCATGCACCAGAATCACTGGGGGCTTTACAAAAGCACATCTGACCCCACCCAGAGATTTGGGGTCAGACCCATTTCTGCTCAGTTTGCAAATATGCAGCTACATGAGAATCCCTGGGTAGGACCAGCACCTCCAGGAGGCTGCCAGGTCCACTCGCCCAGGGGGGGTTATGCTCCCATTACACTGTAAGCTCCCTGGGGGCAGCAAAGGGGCCATCTCTGTAGAGAGGCTCCTCTTTGCCGGGCTTTATCACTGGAGTTTTACCAAGACATAGTTTGGGGGCAAGAAAATAATATTCTGCAAGATTGAAACGGAACTCTCTGGGAAATGTTTCTAAACTTCTTGGACTATAACCCCAGCGAGAAATCCACTTTACTTCTGGACCCAGTGCATGCACACGTGTGCATGCATACACACCCACGTGCACACACACACAACACTAACTTTCACAAAAAATTTCCCCTAGGCACGTACAATGCATTCACAAACTCCCTTTTGTGTATGCTAGGTGATGCCTGTTCCACTTTACACAAGTTAAATAAAAGGCTCCACGTGTGCTGGTTTCTGATTCTAGAATGCTGCCTTTGCAAACCTCTAGTGGGCAGTGTCCAGAAGTTGGAGAAATACCACACTCTAGGCAACATGCAGAGGTGGTTCCTAGGTGGTTGACCGCACGACAAAGAATCTCTAGAACATTCTTTTCTCAATAATCTGCCCATTTACTGAAAATAACAACGTGGCAGGTGGGCAGAGAGGGGGGTGCAGGAGGCACCTGGGTCCCATCGGGGCGGGTCTGGGCTCTCCTAACAGCAGGTCCTGGGGGGTGTGACCCGCCGCCCCCGCCTCAGCCGCATCCTCACCTTGCTGGTGGCGGTGGCGGCCGAGCCGGGCAGCACAGGTGTGTTGGTGACTTGCACGTTTAGGTAATTATTGTCGATGAGCGGCCAGGCGCCCTGCACCTTGCAGGTCTGGAAGCGGTCTGTGAAAGTCCTGAGGTGCGGGTCCCCAAAGAGGCCGCAGTGCGTGTAGTTGGGGGTGGCCGCGTGCTTGTGGAAGCTCTTCTCGTAGTGGCAGATCTCAGGGCTGTCGGAGCGTTCCTGGCTGTCCCCCGGCGGCGGGAGCGTGCGCAGGCGCGGCTGCGACGTGGGGCCATCCTTGGAGCAGTTGTGCTGGCTCATGAGGTCCTCGATGCCATGGACCGCCGAGTGGTATGCCAGGTCGCCGCGGCAGGTGCGCGCCGTGCGCCGCGTGCACAGGGCGTAGGTGCGCAGCGCGGCGCAGAATTCGCGCGCCTCGTCCGCCACCTGGGACTGGCTGCCTGCCGTGGCGCTCCAGAACTCAGAGTTGCACTTGAGGATCTTGCACGGGGAGGTGGCTGTGGGGAAACGAGGGGACACGCATCAGGGAGGGCGCAGCGAGCCCAAGTCGCCTCCAGCGCCGTGTGCCAGGGCTGCAGGCACATGGCACGGGGGCCCTCCTCTCACACGGCGCCACCCGCACGGCACGTTCGCACGCAGACGGCTCAAAAGCTCCCGTAGGTGGTGGCGAAGTGTGGAACCTACCCGTCCCGCCTTCCAGATTCTTCTGCACAGTCCCTAAGGACCCCAAGTGGCCACCCATGTAGCTGGCACGCTGAAAGGGTTAGCGGGGCCCCTCCCACGTTCCTAGCCCGCGAAGAGGAAGGGTCAGTGTTTCTGGGCCACAGGACTGTGGGAGCTGACAGGCCACCCTTGGGCCTTTGACATCTGTTGACACTTTCACAGCCATCCCTAAGAATTTTGGCAAAAGCAACAGAAATTTGGCAGGGAATTAAGCCCCACTGTTCAACATGTGTCCAGAGCTCTGCCACTGTGTGACCCTGTGCAAGTGACTGAACGTCTCTGTGCCTCATTACACTTGCGTGGAAAATGGGAGAACAACACTATCATGTGAGGTTGCTCAAAGTGTTAAAGGACTTAGGACGGCACTGGCAGATGGCAGACGCTCCATGAATGCTGGCTAGTATGATTATTATATTAGCACTTGTCACAGAGGGCCTGGTTCCCATCGCCTCGTCTGCAGAGTAAGGATAGCTTCCCTCTTGATCCGCGTACCTCCATCCCTCTCTATCCTGCTCAGGAAAGCTAGCTGGGAAGCAACTGAGAGTGGTAACTGTGGATCTGCCCTAAGCAGTGTTGTTTTGTTTTTTTTTTAAGTCACTCGCAAGCTTTCAGACGTTTGTGATAATTAGCTACAAATGACTCTCCCCAAGAACCGTGGCTTCAGCACACCCAGATCTTGTACCTGGACATGTGGAACCTGCCCTTTCCTGGCCTTCCAGATTCTTCTGCACAGCCGTATTGAGCACACGTGGCTGGCATGCAGACAGGCAGCGGGAGAGAAGTTTCTATATAGGCTCCAGGAGCAAAGGGGCCAGCCAGCTGGGAGGCCCGGGCTCTGGGGTCGAAGCCCAATGCTGGGTGGTCAACAGAGGGGAAGGGAGCTTTTGCTCCAGCCATTCCTGGCTGGGCCACTAACCTGGCTTGTGACTTTGGAAAAATCTGTATATGTCTCTGGTGCTGGCTTTTACCCATAAAACCAAGTTGTGAATAAAACCAGGGACAGAAATAAGTGAGGGCAGGCTAACGAGAGAACCATCCCAGCAGCTGCCTGTGTGAGCCCATCTGGGCTGCGAGGGTCTGGACCTGGACGCCTCAACCATCCGTCTCACGGAGCTGAAGTGACCTGCCCGAGTCAGCCACCTGGGCATGGCAGAGCTGGTGCACGGCCTCAAATTCAAGCTTTTCCCCACTCGACCTGTGTCTGTCGTCTGCCAGCAAACAAAGTTGTTTCAGGTGGTATCTGGGTGAACATTTCCTTCTTTCAGTTTGAGAAGGTACGGATTGACTTAAATGTGTATTAGGATAAATAAAACAGATTTGATGGAAGACCTACAGATTTTCCATGTTCATAGCTTTATTTTAAGTCAGAGAAGGGTGCTGACTCGAAGCAGCAGATTCGGCAAGGAATAGGTGATGACTGAGGTGAAGGGACCGTGGCCAACGGTGGGGAGCACTGGGCATGGTCCACCTCTCAGAGGCATGCTCCAGGGGCAGGTCTCCCTTGAAAGGCAGCTGGAAGATTCTCTGACCCTGTCGGTCTTCATGTGCCCCAACCTATAGAAGACATCCAAGGGCCCCACCTACCCCTGGGCTCCAAAGGGCTAATGTGGTCAGCGGGCCCTGGCCGAGGGTGGAGGGTGGGGAGGGGAGGGGGTGTGTGGAAGGGGCTGCGTGGAACAAGTGCTTTGGAGGAACGCAGTGCAGAGGGACTGGCTGGGGTGGCCACCAACCCTCCAACTCCAGTCAGTGGCCTCACGCAGTACCCACTCTGCAGCCTCGCTAATCCAGGAACGGGGTGTGCTCACCTGCCATCTGCCTTCTCAGAATCACGTAGAAACAGAGAAAACCGTCCAAAAGGGACACAGGCCTGGTGCTGAGTTGTGGCCACCTGGGCCCTGCCCACCACCCACCAGCCCACCGGCCCAGGGACCCCTGCCCACGTCCAGGCTTGGGTCGCCCTCTGGCCCTCATGCCCAAAGGAGAGAACGACACCGCCTGTCCGTTTACCAGCAGATGCTGCAACACAAGCAGGAGCTGCGCTGGCCTGCGCTCCCCACCAGAGATGGCAGAGACTGAAGTCACAGCCAACTCACCCTGTCCCAGGCTCAGTGCTAGGGGCCCTGCAGGCCTCTCTCGGCCCCAGGGACTGGCACTGCTGCCATTCCTGCCTCGCAAGGAGCAAAGCCAGGCTCAGTGAGGAAGAAGCCGAGGCAGGATTTGAGTCCAGCCCATCAGACCCGAGAGCACATGCTCCTGCAGCACCACGGCATCAGACAATCTTAGTGCTCACAGTTCCCTGCACCAGCCACTGCCTGGTTCAAGGGCCCACTCCACCTGGGGGGACCTCAGTCTCCCCCCCCCCCCCGAGGACCCCTCCTGTGAGGCCGAGAGCCCCCACCAGCCAGGAGGCCTGAACCCACACACTGTCTGTGGCTTCGCCTCCAGCAGACTAGTTCCAAGGGGCCGTTTCTCGGCGTGTGGCCCGTGGAATGCACAGGGACTCAAAAGCTGGGGTTGGGGATGGCGCATAGGGCAGGACCAGCCTGCACACAGTGGGGGACATGTGGGGTGGCCCACTCCTGACCCGGTTTGTGGCTCTGTCCCCGCAGTGGGCGACTCCCCAGGTTCCTGAACTTCAGGGGCACGTGGTGATAGGGCTCTGCTCTCCTCACAGCCTGAAAGCTGGGCTCAGCGCAGCATCCCAGCCATGGGGCTCTCCGGTGTGTCTGGCACTCAGGACCGAAATCCCACTGAGGCGCCCTGAAAGAGGGTCCCTCACATACTCTGGGGTCACAAGAGGGATCTCTAATCACAGACGTGGCTCTTAATACCTGTTCAGAGCAGGTTCCTCCAGTGTCACTGCACGCCCACCGCCTGGGCTCTGACTCAGTGGTCTCACTGGGCCTCAGCGTGTGCGTCCCTGCCAGGCTCCCTGGGGAGCCCCTGCGGCTGGTCCATGGGCCACACTGCTTTAGAGTTGGGTCATTTCCTTTTCCACAGTCACAAAGGGGCCAAGGGAGAGCCCGGTGGAGCCAGGACAGGCTGGAGGGGGTGAGCGGGGCATCTCCTCTGGGCAGGCGGGGGCTGTGAGGGAGACGGCTTTCCCAAGGAGTGCAGCCCGCAGGGACACAGCAGCCCACCCAGCACAGCCCGGGCCCTCAGCCCTTGGAGACGAGGGCTCTCAGCTCTCTCCTCAACACTCAGCGCGGTTCCTTCACTTGCACCCACTGCCCACTCCAGCCCTGGCAGGAACAAGACAACCCCAGAGGGGGCCTGGCGGCTCCTCCCACCACCCCCAGGTGGCCACAGAGATCGCTCTCCATCTGCCTGTGCACTCAGGAGCCAGGCAGGGCCTCCACTCCTGGGCAGCTCCACGCAGGAGTGAGCTCCTCCGGCCCCTGCTCCCTTGAGGTCTTGCCGATGCCATTGCTCAGCCGTCTGGAGAACGTTCTCGATGCTATCACCCAGGACACTGGCCATGTAGGGTGATGGGCAGAATGGGCAGTGGAGGGATGGTGTCCGGCTCAAACTCCTGCTCTGTCCCCTATTAGTAGTTGTGGGAACTTGACTCTGCCTCAGTTTCCTTGTCTGTGAAGTAGAGGGCTGCCGAGGATGAAATGGGGAGATGGACATGGCATGCCTGGGATGCAGGGGACATTCCATAAACAGGGTCCCTGACAAATGTCTCAGAGAGGGGCAAATCCAACCCCCTGTGAGGTCAGAGGGTAGAAGTCCCAGATGGGGGATGGGAAGGGCACTGGATGGAAGCCAGCCCTCCGCTGCCTCCCTGGGGGCGGGGGGGTCCCTGCTGGTGCCCGGGCCGGCCTTTCCACCTGGATTCTGATCAGCAGACTCTGGGCAGCCCCCTTAATCCGCTCGCTGACCACCCACGTGCACGGGCTCACCCCCACAGCCTACCTGGCTCTGTCCAGGACCATGACTGTCTGGGGGCCACACTTCCCATTGCACCTGGGGTGGCTTCGCCCCTCTGCCTCACTCACCACCTAACTTTCACTGCGGGGGGGGGGGAGGGGGGTCCTAGGGACTGAGTGTATCCCTCCAAAATTTACATGGTGAAGCTGTAACCGACCAGGTGATGGCATTGGTTTGTGTGTGGGGGGGGCGTTGGGAGGTAATTAGGTTTAGATGAGGTCATGAGGTGGGTCCCCCACGATGGTATTAATGTCCCTGTGAGAAGAGACAGCAGAGCTCTCTCCGCCACGTGAGGACACAACAAGAAGGCAGGTGCAGGCCAGGAAGGGAGGTCCCCCCAGATACCCGCCATGCTGGCACCCTGCTCTCACACTTTCAGCCTCCAGAACTGTATCCTTGCCCCTCTCTCTCCTCCCCTCCCTGGGCCCTCCCGAGTCCCCTCTGCAGGAGCTGCCAGTGCCATTCAACAGACAGGCAAACCGAGGCCTGGAGGCGCTCAACAGCCCTCTTCTCCCAGGTGCTCTGACACAGGTGAATGCAAACCACAGCCTCCCCCACAGCTGCTTCCTCCTCCTCCTCCTCAGACCTTTTGTCCTTCTACACACACCAGGCAGTGCCCAGGGGCCACAAAGACAGAGATAACAGTTCTGCCGTCGAGGGGGCTGACTGGGGAAAGGGCTGTGTACCCATGAGGGCATCGGGCAGCGGGAGTTGGGGAGCAGAGGGGGTGGGCACACGGGCCGGGCCTCACCCCACAAAACAAAAATAATGACAATGATAGTAAGACTGGCACCCCTTGGCCTGTGCGGATTACAAATTGCTTGAATGTTGGATCCTCACA